TACAAATCTGCAAACCCTATAAACCTTTAAGCCACCCCTGCAAAACCAGACAGGCCCATCTCGAAGAGAGGAAGACCGCAGCCGGTGATGCGCTGCGGGACTTGGTGTGGGACTTGGACGCAAAGCCTCCAGTACTGGGATTTTGGGCATGAGTGTTTTGGGTTGTACTGGGTTTAGGGTTTAGGATTCGGGGTTCATAGGGTTTAGATATGGAGTGTTTTTGTTGGGTTTGGGGTTTAAGGTTTAGGATTTGGGGTTTAGGGTTAAGACATGGGGTTTGGGTTTATTGGGTATAAGGTTTAGGATTCCACAAGCCTGAACTTTCAACTCTGGGTATCTATGTTCTCGCGAGGGATATTAAAGCTCTCGCAATCGCAGTTTGTGGTTGCGTCTACTTGGCACTTGGCAGCCCCCTTACTCGGTCGAACACCCTAAATGTTAAGTGGATTTCGTTCTTCCGGTGGCGAGGGCGCGTAAAACGCGCTTCGTTGTACTCCAAGCCCTCCATCAACGAAGGACGTGCAAGTACAAAGACACGTTCAGTCTGCGGACGTAGGGTATTGGGCTCAATTTGATTAGTGTTTTCTTAGCACCTGCCACTGCCACTCAGTCTTCGTAGAGTCCCAAAGTGACAACAGGATTTAGGCGTGGTTCTTTTCGTCGCCTTTTCTTCCGCATCCCTCGGATGGTAAGGCGAAGGTCTCTTGACCGGTCGGGGTCTCTTGGCCGGCTGGGACTTTGGGTTCCGCTTGTGAGATTCTGGGCATTCAGGGGTTGATCGAATATCCTAGATGCAAGCTCTGATTTGAATCGACAGCCGCTGCATCCTCAAAGCGTGCCGAGGACGAGCATCTCAAGGAACGTGTTGAGCGAGTTTCGCGACAGGCAGCATTTTGCGGATGATCGCTGGATGCTGCAACCGGGCCCTGAGACCCAACCCCAGCTTCAGCAACTTCTGAGCCACGACCGGAGTTTCTGGAATTGCAGTTTTGCTCTTTGCGGTGCAACAAACTTCAGGTCAGGTCTGAGCAGAAGCCTAAACACCCTTTGAGTCCTAAAGGATGACAAGGGTGAACACTTGCCTCTCTCTCCCTCCCTTGCTCGCGCCTTCCCTCTCGCTCTCTCTCTCTCTCTCTGTCTCTCTCTCTCTCTCTCTCCCTCTCTCTCTGTGTCTCTCTTCATCTCTCTGTCTCTCTCTCCCTCTCTCCCGCACGCTGCCGCTCTTTCTGTCGAAACAAGGTGTGGCTGGAGCTCCGCATTGGGCTTGCTGTTCTTACCATTGACACGCGGGACAAAGCTTCAGGGCTTTAGGGTGAATGTAGGTTGTACAGTGCTTTCCATTCGGTCAAGGCTTTCGATTGATCGCTTTGCCCGCAATAGACTAGGTTCCTGAGTAGTACCCTGTTGCCCTTTTTTTCAGGGTCCAAAGGCTGCCCTTGTTATAGAGAGGCTACTACGGAACCTAGTATAGTAGCCTATAAACCCTAAACCCTTATAGATCTCTTTAAAGGAATCCTTATGGATCCCTTTAAAGGAGCCCGCAGTTGATCATGACAGGGCGACAGGCGGACGCGCGACATGCAGCAGCACACTCTCCAGGCACTTGGGACCCGTGCAGTGGGGCTCGGAATGATGAGTAATAATATCCCTGGAGGAGTATGTGTACATGAGTACGTCGTGGTCATGTCATCTGGTAAGATAGATGGCATGACATGTGAAAAAGGTTTTGCGCAGATGAAGTGCACAGCCTGATGTGGTCTCGTCATGCACAGGGACGTACCTCGAGGAGCATGTTTGAAGAGTTTCCGAGCTGCCTACGAGTCTACCAGACGAGAGGGCCCATACCTATACACCTAAAGAATAATATTTGTGTATTTGAGGCCCCTAGTTATACTTATAGCTTTACCACACAACGGTCAATTGCACTCAGACTCGGGGTTGGGTTCGTGGCTTGAGAAGTGCGAACCCTGCAGTCACACCGAATTGCTCGTGCCTTGCTAGTCACTCAAGCCCCAGCATGTCTCCGCCACAACCCCAAATTTTGTAGCCACAATTCTTCTCTTGGTGGGAAGAATTCCCATTCGAAGCCCCTGCTGACCATGCAGAATTCCTTGCAACTCGGGTGCCAACTCGACGACATCATGGGCCACTGTAAGGAGTGGGCACTTGTGGTCTGCATGGCAGGTTGGCCACTTCGTGTTTCCCTTCCCTTGATGGTTTATCGCTTAGGTCCTTGGTTGCTCTTTAATTGATTTACGAGGTTCGGAGTTGAGGGTTGCGGCGTCGCGTTGCGAGACTGGCAAACATGAATCGCTCTTGGGGTTGAGCTGATGGTTCATGCCTCAATTGCAAGCACACATGACCTATATGCCCCACCATATAGCACTTGATATGTCTCTATACTCTACTATGTTGTTATTGTAACTAGTATACTCTATAGTTGACGATACTATACCGCACCATGTTGTTATTGTGACTAGTATACTATATAGTTGACGATACTACATCACAATTTGCAGAAGGGTTTTATCGAGGCAGCGCTTGTGAATGCAGTACATGTTGAGAGCTGCTTGGAGTCGGTTCTTTCCGTGAGACTCCAAATAGCCCAAAGTAGGTAGTATTTATAGACTTTAGACCGCAAAGTAGGTACTATTTGTATACTTGGAGTCTTAGGGTTTGTTGCCTGACTAGGCACTTTGTAGAGGCCTGTGATTCCCTGTTGCTTGCGCTCTTGGGTAGTTGCTTCTGTTTTGCTTTGTGGGTTTTTGGCTTCCGTCATACGGACCTCCAAGAAAATGTGTTTTGCTCGCCTACCAAGAGGAGCAGAGCTCACCCCAAACCCTAGACGCCCTAGCAACTCTTGCAGAGCACTACACATGAAGACCGAGACAAAATGCTGATCTTCTGGACGGAGAGGACCAGCTACGCTCTATCCACATCCGTGCAGAGGGCCACACGCGCCTGAAGGCAAAGAAGGGTGTCGGAGTTCAGTTCAACACGTCTCAATTCAGGGTTCAGGGTTGAGCTTGAAGTATGAGGCTGGAATCAGTGACATAAACGGTGGGTTTCATTCCAGCTTCACTTTTGCGTTGCAGTCGCAGTCTTTATGGAGCATCCTCGGAGAGGAGGTGCTATGCTGCCGACATCCCGGTCAGAAGCAATGAAGACATGATCCTAAGCTCAGTGGATGCAGTTTAAAGGCCAACTCAGTGCAGTAATCTCAACTCGACGGCTCAAAGTATTGTCAGCAGAAGTGATATGTTTCCTCAACCGAAACAGTAACAGTTTGGGGAGGTAACATGTGACATATGGGAGTTTCCGAAAATAGGGGACCCGAAAATTGTACCCTAAATAGTAGGATCCTTATTATAAGGATCCCCGGAAATTCCCATATGGGCCTTCAATATCGGAATACGGCTTGAATGGGCGTTGGGGGATCCGGGCCACATCCGGACAAGTCGCCAGGAGCTCTGCCAGCTTGCTGCAAAGCGTGACACCCCCGAGATGCCAGCACCGCAGATGTCTTTTTTTGTTAAGGGCTCATGGTTAGAGGTTAGTGCTTTGGGGTTGTAAGGGTTTTGAAGGTTTTTGTGGTTTAACTATGGTAGTTCCTTTTTTTGGTTAGCCAGTTTTGTGGTTAGGATCCTATAACAGAGATTTTGGTTGCCCTTAAAAGGGAACTACAATGGAGACTATAGGTATGGTTAGAGTTAAGTGCTTTGGGGCTTTAGGGGTTTAAAGGTTTGAGGGATTTAAATTGAAGGGTTGAGGGGTTCAGGGTTTAGGTTCATCTTGGGCCGAATGGCTGATGAGTGTGAGTCAGTCGGACACAGCTTCGGCTTTGGTTGCTGCTCCAGGCTCAAAGTCACTTGTTCTGCTGGTGAGCAGGTGGGTTTGATAGAGAATAACTCGAAACCCTAAACCAAAACCAGCTTTCCTTGAAAGAATTTCGTTCTTGCTGTAGGCGTTCAGTGTTAGGCAGCCAAAAACTGCACAGTTAAGGCAGCTAAGGTCCGGTTTCAGGTCGCGGTATACTGCATAGCCAACCAGCAGAATCACGGGCGGCCCCAGTATCGACCTTAATATCTGTATATATATATATATATATGGAGATATATATGGATATATATGTAGTTCTGGTCTTTTGAACAAGGAAACCCAAGGAGTAGTATTGGTAACCATTCCGGCCCTTACATCAGCATGCCAATGCTTGGAACTGCCAACCGACCGTCGAGTATCGGCAGGGCTGCTCTCAACTGCCATTTCCCAAGCCTCAGAAACTCGTAACACAGACTTCGAGCCACCCCTCAAGACCCTACTCGAATTACTAAGGCGACTACTAAGGCGACTATGTTACATTAGCGGTAGAGCTTCTACGGTGTCCGATGGCGAGGTCGCGCGAGAACTACCGAAAGGTGAAGGCTGACCCTTCGCCTCATCTCCTTCCCGATTTTGTCATAGTGGCGCTGGTAACTCTGCCTGGGATATATGACTTCCTGGCCTCGTTGACCTAAGGTTGTCTTGGCTTTGTGATGTCCCTCTCGATCAATTGTTCAGACAAAGAGAGGCGCTGAGGCGCGTGTATCCTAGATCAAGCGATACTTTATAGATCTGCCTTTAATCATGTTTCATGTCGAGGGTGCTTGGCAGAATACCATCAATGAGCTTTTGGCATGTCTTTCCGGTTCTCTCGGATCGATGATCAGGATCAGCGGCTCAGGATAGCCCATGACAAAACCAAGCCCTAAACCGTAAACCACGACTGCATTCAGCTTTGCTGAGTTTCAGACCTCCCGAGTTGATCTAGACTGCCTTACTACCTGCAGCCCGGACGAAGCAAACCCCGAACCGAAGACCATAAAGTGAAAGCCCTCGACTTGCAGCCCGTAGCCGAACCCTACATGGTCAAACCCTATATACACCTCAAACCCTTCAACCCTCAAACCTAAACCCGATAAAAGGCTTGCAAGAATCGCCATGGCCACCGCGCAACCGACACCATGCGCCGCTGGACTCTGCGAGTTCTGCGCGGCCACAGGGGCTACGCAGCCGCTTGTTACCATGCATTTGTAAGCCGACACCCGTTGTTGTTCGTCCTTTTGCCCTCCAATCAGTTCGTGTTCAGAGTTAGCGTGCGGAGGCTGCTAGGCTCTCAGAGCTAGCCGAAGCCATGCGACATATCGGTGGGAATAACAGGCCAAGTTACATGGAGCGCCCGCAACCTTGGCGAACGATGCCACCATGTTTTGACATAGATGTCTACTTTCTTTGGCATATACTAGCTGATAGACTGACACACGTAAGCAGGTGCATGCATACATAATTACATAAATTCATACATACATCTATGCATATACTTGTGCACCTACACGACGGCGAAGTGACAAATAAAAAACTGTCTACCTCATGCTTTGCCTTGGGGTGCAGTGGTACATCTCGGTTTTCGGAGCAGCGTCTGATGTTGCCTGGACCGCAAGTATGCTGGAACAGCATCAAAATAGCTGCTAAACGGCCTATTCCATAGCGGAGGACCACTGCCATAACTACACGATAAGCCTGATGGACTCCCCTGGGCAGCTAGAGAAAAGCTCTGCTTAGGACTTGCGTCTCTCCACCCTTCGCCATGCTCTGGACACTAGCGCCGACGGCCTGGTCGGCGTGGGCCAGCGCTGCCTGCAGAGTTTGCGTGAGCTTGACGGTCAGGGTCGCGGGTTCTCCATATCGAGACAACCTGTAATGAACCCCAAACCCTACATCCTCAGCCTCTTTTTACCCCTGAACTCTGAACCGTATCTACAGTGTTGAGGCGTGCTGGTTTTGAAACTAATTAGGATCAGCGGTTTTGGGGTGTTTATGGGTATATGGTACTGTAAAGCTAGCCACAGATCCTGTGTGTCGACACCCAATGGCTCTTTGATGCCGACGATCCTCTACAAAGCCGGTCGAAGGGTCGGCAGGTCTTCAGCGGTTTAGGCTATAGGGTTTAGGGTTTAGGGTACATAGGGTTAATTTACATAGGGTTTACGTTAGACTTTAAAGATGCGGCGTCGAGTAACTGGAGCCGGTGCCATAGTTCCCGTTTATCTGTCGAACGGGCCATTGCCAGGTTGGCAGCTCGCCATAAGGAAGCGAGCTTCGCCTGCGATTTGCCGATTTGCCTTTGTGCAGGTTTTCGAACGGCTTGAACGGTTCAATTAAGGATTCCAGGGATTCTCGGAATTAGGGCTTGAAGGCTGAGTGTATGTATGTATGTATATATATATATATATATATATATATATTATATATATTATATATATAAGGGTTCTGAATAGACAAAGGACAGGGATTCACGGGTTTAGGGGTTCCTTGGCTCTTCGGGTGCACTGCTAGGCTTTAGGAATGATGAGGTCTCGGGCTCTATCGGAGAGGTGCTTCCAGGCCTTATGGTATTGCACTGAAAATCAGTGTTGAATATCTACCCTAAGGCTCCATCGTAGATCCTTTTTGGGGTTCATATTTAGAACCCTATAAGGTAATCCCAAAAAGGAACTACTTTGGAGCCTCTGGGTAGTTTATGTGGGTTTCAAGTTGGGGTCTTCCATTCTACGATGATCTTGCGAGCGTCTCCCTTCACGGTGGTGAGATCGGACCGGGTGCATGTGGCTCGGGGACGGTGATAATATCCGTTCGTGGTGCTGCCAGTCAAGTGTGAGGGCTTTCAATGCCTCTTCCGACCTTCGCCCACACATTTGAGAAGCTGCGGTCTGAAGGAGTCATGAGTCTAACTTTCAAGATGTTCCCCTTTATAAAGCCATAATATAGCAGACTCTATATAGCCAAATATTATTCCTGACGGTTCCTTGGTATAACCATTGATACTACAACAAGGGACCCCGAAATCCTATTCCAGCTATTAAGGCCCTATGTTACGGTTTAGGGTTGACGGTCCTAAACCCTAAACCGTTCCCCTTGAAGTCGGAGAGTCTCGCAAGGTACTTCCCACTCCCAAAGCCCTTCGGGCTTCACTGCGTGTGCCTCGGCCACCTCTTTGGGGTTTGGGGGTTTAGGGGTTTAGGGTTTAGGGGCTTTGGGTTTAGGGGTTTAGGGTTTAGGGCTTAGGGGTTTAGGGGTGTAGGGTTTAGGGTTTTAGGGGGGCTTCACTGCGTGTGCCTTGGCCACCTGTTTGGGTGGAGTTCCGGAGATGTTTGCCGTGCGTCCGACCGAGTCATCCACTATTCAGGGTTCAGGGCTCGTCACTATGTGTGTAGGTTACATAAATATGCATATGCATATATATATATATATATATATATATATGTGTGTGTGTTTGTGTGTGTATACACAGAGCTTATATAAGTATGTCTGTATATATATGTATACATATATATATATATATATATGTAACATGTGTTATATATATATATATATATATATGTTTACTAAAACGCAATACCACAGGCGTGGCTACGAAGTGCACGAGCTACTGCAAAACTACACGAACGAATCGCGCAGCGTCCCTCGGCGAACAGTTTCTGTTCTTGTGTTTTATTTGGGGAGGTGTCATGCACACGATTTCAGCTCGGGAGTTGGATCACTGGGTACGGTTTGAGGGGGACGGGTTATCTTGCACAGAGTTTGGGGTGTAGCTGCGTACTTGTCGCTGTTTCCCGGGTTCCTTTGACCAACTTCGGGAAAGAGGACGTATGGATCGAGAAAATGGCGCTGACATGTGCATCTCGAACTCCAGACTTGAACTCAGCAGAAACACTGCAGAAGTACAATCAAGCTTCATCGACTTCCCACGGTTCCTGCAGACTTTCCTCGTCAGCTTTTCGGGACGGTGTGGGCGCGCTGCCGAAACCTGCTTGATCCCTCAGTGATGTCAGCTTTGATTTAAAACAGATCGTCATGCTTAGGCTCTCATACACCTAAGCCATCCTAGACCTCATAGTGCCACCCTGTGATGCATGTGTTTTAGCCCCACTGGCAAGAACAGATAAAGCCCTACATCTTCATGAACCCGAACCGCGGAACCGCGAGAAGAAAGAAACGCCTTCCACCAAAGGATGTGCTGACACCTTCAGCCTCCGTGGCGGCACACAGCAGCCCCTGATGCTGCAAGTTGGCCTTTTCTTGGCAGTCGGCGGAGGTCTTCGGAGACCGGCGTTCAGGGTTTATGGGTCTAGATTCGGTGGTGAGGCTTCAGGGCCTAGGGGTGTTCTTTGGGAGTCCAGATTTAGGGCTTTAGAGGTGAAGATGTAAAGGTGCAGGGGTGTTCATGTTCAGAGCTCCTCACTGCCCTAGGGTGTGGAATCGTGTTTAGAAGGTTTCAGATCTTATCTCTTTGTAGTGATCTTAGGATTTATGCTTTGTTGACTATGGTACAACTCCCGGAGATCATTCAAAACTCTCATTTCTAGAATGGTTCTAAGGGCGCCGAAGATCTCGTCGCCGAGCTTCCGATCTCGAAGTTACAGAAGCAGTTCCATGTTGCCTCAGATATCTGTGGCGGACATGGACCGAACTCTAAACTGCCAGCCTTAAACTGGCCCTAAACCCTACGCAACCCTTCGGCCCAAAGTCTCAACCCTGGGTTATTTTTGGATTGAGTCTGGGAGAAGTTGAGCTCCCTCGACCGAGGGTAGACGTCTGAGCCAGTAGTAGTAATATATCTCTGCAGCTCTGCCTTATATAGATCAGGGTTAGGGTCTAGGGTTGAGGGGCATTGCCTTCACAATTCGGCTCGAGTTTTTGAGGCCCTCTGTTCGCAGTTTCGACTGCTTTCTGGCGTTTCCCTCTGAGGCTACGCCGTGGCGAATGAGTTTCCCTGGTTTCCCTTCTTATCTTGCCTGGAGACATTCCCTGAGGCACGGGCGGAAAGGTTTCCAAAGTCTGCTGTTTGTGTTGTTGACGCTTGCGGCTTAGTCCCTAAACCCCAAAGCCCCTAAACCCTCAACCCCTGAACCTTCAACCCTTAAATCAAAGTTTGCAGGTTTGGGATTCAGCCTTCCCGGTTTGAGAGTTCTGGTGGTTCGGGGCTGGAGGCAGGCGACTTACAGTTTTGGGAGTGTTTGGGGTTTAGGGATTTAGGCTGCAGTGTCGCTTTTGGGGGGAGTGTTTGGGGTGTATATAAGAGGTTTAAGATTTGGAGATTCAGCGTGAAGGGATTTTGGAGCGTTTGGGATTTTGAAGCTTAGGGCGCATAGCATTGAATTTAGGATGTATTGCGACAGGAGCTTCGCTCTCTCCGGGATTGCTCCCGCCATGGGAAAGGTACTTAAAGGATCATGGGACTTAGTAAGTAAGGTTATAAGTACCTTAATTGGGGTTATAAGTGGTTATAAGTATAGTTACCCTAATTACAACCCTAGTTACTAAGTCCTATGATCCTTTAAGTAGGATTCACTGCCTGCGCCTTTTGGTTTGGGAACGCTAAGCCCTTTTGAACGCTTTAACCTTTGCGTCGTATTCCCCAGTAGCTCGTAGTATGCCCGAATCCTCTCCTTAGAATCATACAGTAGCACGGCTCTGACACTGCAGCAACAGCATAACCAGTATTGCGACATGCGGGCACATGTGCACGAAGCGCAGAGATAGGGACGTATGGTTGACTGTAAATGATAAATATGTTTTCTCTGTCTTCCTCTTTATATAGGTGGTTGTCAAAGTTATGGTGCTTTCTTGGGTCCCTAATATAATACGGCACGGAATATTTAGGGTACCCCAAAAGAGACCCTAGTTTCGACAACTACCCATATATGTATATGCATGTATAACTTCTTGAGAAATGGCATCAGTTGGCCGTGGCAGGCAAAGGAGGCCGTCGCCAGTGCCATTCTCCAAGCTCTCCCGGAAGGCCCTGGACTTAGGGATTCGGTTTTGGGGCCTTAGGGTTTGGGGTTTAGGCTTTGCAATGGCTTGTTTACCCATAGGCCCCAAAGTAGTTCCTTTTTGGGATTACCTTATAGGATTCTAAATATGAACCCCAAAAAGGATTTTCTTTGGGGCCTTAGAGTACTGACTGAAGGTTTTGGGTTTAGGATCTAGGGTTCATCGGGTGGCTGACGTCGGTTTAGGTTTTAAAGAGTTCGCGCAGGCTTTGATTGGACTTCAGGGTTGTGACATTGTGGATTTGGCATTTAAGGGCCTAGTGGCGTGTAGGCATAGGGTGGTGGGGTTTAGGCTTATGGCAGGCCATTAGATGTACGGTGGAAGCAGGTTTTTACAGTAAGCTGAAGCTCGCACGCACGGTGCGGAATTCATCCGGTTCGGATTGCGGTCGCGGAGATTTTGCAGTTCATGACTTGATGATTGGGTCCCAACGAGTATGATTTTGCACACGGGTTCGGTGCTGCCCATGCCCAGCGGGATTGATTCTTCATGCTCTGCGGTTTACTGAGGACAAGAACCGTACTGCAGTCTGGGCAAGCCCACCCATATACGCTAGCTGAACATCTCTGGTGAAGTCCGGCATGCCTAAACCCTAAACACAAGATCCCTTTCCCAAAGGGTCCAAGTATCCTTATAGTATATACTTGGACCCCAAACTACTCTATAAGTATATACCATAATATATACCATAATGATGCAAGATCCCTTTGTAGGCAGCAAGCTTGGAAGACGCTGGTGGTTTGCGCCGTAACCCCAGGATTGCTTCTTGATCTCTGATGTCGGGCCTGCAGCTGCTACGGTTTAGGGTTTGGAAGTATCGGTTTTTGGTTTACGGACACTGACTCAACCGCTACGGCAACTCGACCTCAATGCCGGAAAATCATGATCAATGCAAAATCGAAAGTCCTGCCTTGCGTCGGGGGCTGGACCTAGCAGAAGTTCGCGCTGGGACGCAGGATTCGTAAGGCCTTGGCCAGAAAAGCACCTGTAAAGATGAGGGTTCGAGTCGGGGTTTAGGGTTGCAGGCAGCCGCTGTGATGGATTGCAAGCATTACTGTAGTGAGGATCTCCATTGCAAATCTTTTAAACCTAAGAATTAACAAGAAGCCCATGTCAAACCGCTGTCCTAAGCCCTCAGATTCCGACAACGTCCAAGAGAAGGCTCCCCGAAGCCGGCAGCCCTGTGAACCTATAAGTCCTTCCTAACCAATGTAGCACCCTTAGCGACCAAATACCGCACTGTAGGAGTGTATAAACGGCTTTTCAGCAGTGTTACAAGACCTGAAACCTATCTCTTGAATGCTCGACAGCGAAGCCGACAACTGACAAACGAAGGATTGGACTGAAAGCTTTCAAGCGGACACTGGCGGTTGAGAGTCGCCTCGAGCGAGCACGGCTTCTGAAAGATGTAGGGCTGACGGCTCACAGTGCCTAACCGCGGTACCCATCAATAATTCTTACTTTATTATATCACTTTGTTATTACTGTTAACTGTTAATGACTATGTTTACTACTTGGTGTTGGGTCTTATAGGAACAAGAGTTCGAATCTATATGTGTATATATATATACACACATACATATATTCATGAGAATTCCGAATCGCGGACATGAGGGCACCGAAGTCCGAAGCCCCGACCTCACCAAAGCCTCGTAAAGCTGTTCGTAAATCCAATATACCCCAAGAGTCCTAAGTACGTATATATATATATATATATATATATATATATATATTGGTAGTTTGTAGGTTTCGATAGTAGGACGTATTTTTTATGATTTGGAGTAAGTAAACCCCCAGAACACTACCTGGGACCCTTGGGACCGAACAACTACTGCTATCATTCCTTAGGGTTTAGGGTTTAGGGTTTAGGAAACGGAACCATAGTTACTTTGATTCACCCAAGACCCGGTTGAAATGACTAGCCTTTTCCCCGGAAGCGGCTTCTATAAGCAGCCCTTGCCCCCCCCCACAACCTGGTTTGCATCCCCACCTTTGGATGTCCTTCTCTAAACATTCAGACCCTAATCTGCTTTTTTCAAGTTCGGAGCGACGAATGCAGCACTGAGGTACGAACTGTTCTTCGAGCGCCTACAACATCCGGACCGGGCCGCACGAAGTTCTTTACGGTTTCCAGGCTCTAGAGCTCAATAATAAAGCCTGCAAGTGCCAGCACTCTCCTTCAGGTTTCCTTACTGTACATGTATTCTGATATATGCCCTCGCCCAAAGCGTTATATCCGAATCGTAGATGCCTTCTCCATGTAGGGTAGCTTTGAAGTGGGAGCCATGATGAGCAGACCCTCAATTAGGACAACCCCGTCTTCAAAACAAACGAGGCCACCGGCAAAGAAATCTGCAAGTTCAATACACTGCCTGCACGGGACATGAACCCGTAAATATCTCTCAATTGTACACCCCGTACAGACACCCTTCAAGACTCTGTGCAACCTGTACAGCCCCCCTATAGAAGCACTGCAAACCAGTTTAGAAACCCTATATATCATATGACCTTTACAAAACCTCATACAAGACCCTTGCAGACACAAACTCCGACCAAGCCATGCAGCAAAACTGGGAGGACTGGGATGGGCAGTTCGAGGCCGTGCCCCGGAGTACTGAAGCACTTTAAACGGTTGGAAGGGTTAATGCAAGGCCTTGGAGGGTTCCTTTAAAAGGTTCCCAGACGGGCGCCCTTGGAGGGTTCTTGCCAGCATCCTATGATGTTTTGGGTTGTTTTTATTTCGGTGTTAAAGAAATTTGTAGAGTTGACGGTTCATCCTTTCGGATTCATTGTTTCGGTTTCCTCGAGGATTGAGCAGCAGGTGCAGACGTATGAGAACACAAGCTTGGGTAATAAGGCGAGAGGGGAAGTATTTTTCAGTGGTGTCTCCGTGGTAGAGTGGGCATACTCTGGCCGCTTCGGGCTTCTACAACACAAGACTTCCCTAAGGTTAAACCCTTAGGTACTGGACAAGTAGGGATTCAAGGAATTGGATGGCCTTACGCTTTGGATGTTGGACGGCCCCTGGATAAGAGTTGAGAGGCTGAGAGGCTTCGCCAGGGTCCCTCCTTTTTTGTACGGGAGACCGTTCCAAGTGGAGGTAGTTCTTATTTGTTGCTGGTGGCATCTATAGACTTACATGCATACTACTATGAGTCGACGTAGGAGATGCAACTTCCTCTAGTCAGGACCAGGAATCTCATGCACATGATGTAATTCAATACACAACCTCTAGGACCGAAGCGGGATTCTGGGTTTCGTGATCCAGCAAGATATCCCGCACATAGTGGATGAGGTTAGAACTTTGGAAGGGGTTTGGGTTCTAAAGACTCTCCCAGTCCAAGGTGCCGTTCCTGCCGCCGGAGCGGTTTTTCTGCACCTCTGGGAGGTTGGGGGGAGGGGTGGCTGGGGTGTTTAACGGTATGCTTATTTACTTTAGGTGAATGTTTCAAGGTTTTCAGCTTGCGTTCAGGATGTCATGTGCTCGAAGTAAGACTGTGCTGTCACATTCCTTCACATAAGGCCTCATTGGTCTTGCACCACATAGCCAGAGCCAGCTGGGATCCGAATGGGTGGAGTCTTTCGGCTTGTGAAGCGTTCAGGGTTTAGGGCTTTAGCGTTTTAAGGTGTTGGGATTGAGATGTTTTACGGTGGTGAGGCTGCAGGGTTTCATGTTCCAGGCTTTGGGGCACGCGATCAGGCGTAGGGTGGATGGTGCGGCGGCACCTAAGGCTTGACCGAAAACATGAGGCTTGATTCAACCCTTAGCCCTAGGCCCTAGACCCTCTAAGCTCAATGCCGATCAGGTTATCGGCTCGCCATGGCGTGCTCGACAACTTGCACCTCCGTCTATTATGGATCCTTGGGGTTAAAACTTTAAAGTCGGATGTTCGAGGTTTCTTGGAGGATCATGGGACTTAGTAAGTAAGGTGATAAGTACCTTAATTGGGGTTATAACTAGTTATAAGTAGAGTTACCCTAATTATAACCCTAGTTACTAAGTCCCATGATCCTTTAAGTTGGGATGTCCAGATTTCTCTTGGGTTCAGAGGAGCCTGGTTCAGAAACCTTGGGTCTTTATTCGGACTCTTGATATGGATCCCAAGATTTTGGGGGGTTATAGGACCAGGGTTCCTTGCTCAGATTCCTGCATTACCTTAAGCCCAGAGACTCCTTAATTGAAGACTCTACTTTAGTTCGTATTTAGGTTCCTATCATGATTTAAGGGTATGTTCTTTAATTAAAGGGGTCTTTGGGACTCTCTAACCCTAAACCCTAAGCCCTATACCTCAAACCTGAAACCCTAAACCCCTAAACCTTCAACCTGAAACCCTATAAGCCCTAAACCCTGTGGCGAGCTGAAGGCTTGGTAAGTAAGGTTATAAGTACATTAACTGGGGGGATAAGTAGTTATAAGTATAGTTACCCTCATTAGGACCCTAGTTACTAAGTCCCATGATTCCCATGATCCTTTTAGTAGACCCTAAACCCTAAACCCCATAGATCCCTTTCAGGAACCCCTATAGATCCCGTTTAAGGAGCCCTTTGAGTAAGCCTTGTGGTGGGCTGAAGGCTGGGTGGCAAAGACTTCTGCCCAACTGTCGAGAAGTTCGCCGGCGCCGAGGAGGCTGTTGAGACTTTTCGTGCGGCCCCTTGCAGACAAAGGGGTGTGGTTGTCAAAATTATGGTCTTTTTTTGGATACCCTAAATATTAGGTGCCGCGTTAAAATCAGGACCCAAAAAGGGACCCAAATTCTGACAACCACCCAAAGGGGCTTTACTTGCAGGTTCATGGGTAGTTATAAGTGGGGCTACAAGTCCCAATATGGCTTTAGCTAGTTATAGTTGCCCCACCCCTAACCCCACGTTAGTTACCCAATAATTTCCAAGTAGGGTTAGATTTAGGACGGAATTGAGGGCATGACGGCGCCGGGTTTGTTGGTGGGGCGTTCGTTGGGTGGCAGTTTCTGGGTGGCTGGAAGTGTCCTGAAGCTGCATGCCATGGTTCGGGTTGAACCCAAGACGACCGTTGGCTTTTACCATGTGCTGAGGAACTTATGGACGTGCTGTCGCCCATTTGTATGATGACTGTGAAGGACACCTCCGCTCGACTGCTTGCTGGGGCTGGAAAGTTCAAGTGTTGGCTGTTCTTCTGCATGCCCTGATGGAACAATTCCCTTGAAGGAAACTGGGCCCAGCCACTACGTAGACTTTGTCTTCCTGGAGGATCATGGGACTTAGTAAGTAAGGTTACAAGTACCTTAATTGGGGTTATAAGTAGTTATATGTATAGTTACCCTAATTATCACCCTAGTTACTAAGTCCCATGATCCTTTAAGTTGTCGGTTCGGATCGCTGTCGAGGATTTCAGATACTCGGCATCGTTGGATTCGCCTTGTGGGTCGGCTTACCATGCCTGTGTATACTTGGGAGTTTCCGAAAATGGGGGATGCCTTTAAAGGGATCTATAAGGGTTCCTTTAAGGGTTCTTTAAAGGGATCTATAGGGTTTAGGGTTTGGGAGTTTCCGAAAATTAGGGGTACCTTGTTTTGGAGCCCTTAGCATCAGGATCCTACTATTTAAGGTACTATATTAGGGTCCCCTCTTTTCGGAAACTCCCACTGGTCGTGCGAAACTGCAACCTGAAATCTTGTTGTCCTTTAACCCAGAAGCTCACGGTGATAGCCATCTTCCGGCCGAGCAGTGATTAAAACAAGTATAAGCCTTTGGGTGAGTCGTTGTCAGCCTACGTATTCCTTGTAGACGAAGCGGCGCAAGGTTTAGGAGTTTAGTAAGTTTAGGGTTCATACAGACCACGACAGAAGCTGATACAAACAGACCGCAGTCTTTGCAGGACTTCTTAACCGATGCTGGTCTTCGCCAAGGGGCGGCTGTGGATGAGGTGGCTTGGCCTGCTCGAACCCCTGTAGGGTAGGAGATCGGTGACTGAGCGAAGTTCAGGGATTTCGGTGCTGTGTATGTACTATATATTATATAAACAGATAGAGGCTAACAGAGTGTTTAGGGTATTTAAAACTAGGGCACTTGGCTTCGGACGTCTTGGGTTTGGTCGGTCTTTTCATGGGCAGCGAGCGTCCCGAAGAATGGATTAGGAGAAGCCGATCCGTAGTGAATGCCTCACAGACATCACGACCAAATTGGCTCGGAGTTGTTAGGGAAGAGCTTGCGCGACATTGGCACGTCGTTGGACTGCAGGCTGTGAATTTAATGATCCAGGTGTGAAGCTACAGGGCGAAGCTGCGGCAGATCTGCTTAGTCTGAGTCTAGCTTGCGGCAGCCTTATTCAACCCCGCATCAACCTGCGTCTACTAGGTGGATATACAGACGGACAGATAGATAGGTCCTATTGGTAGGTGCCCGCTGCAGATCTGGAGTTTGAAATGGGAACCTGCCAAAGCACGGCAGCAGCATGAGCCTGAAACCCTAAGCCCTAAACCCCAAGCTAGTCCCTACCTAGACCCCAAAAGTATGTGGAATAATGGCCTTGTATAGAGTGCATGCGACGAGAACGGCCTTCAAAGAAGAACAATCTCACTACACTCTTAGCCATGAAATCCCCCAAACTCATGATTGTTTGAAGCTCTAACGAACCCAACCCCAAGAGTGTTTGAAGTTCTGACTTTCTGCCTGAGGAAAAGTGGCAACGCCTTCTCAGGCAGCTTACGGAAGGAGGCCCTCGGCGTACTACAGAAGCCCCTATAACCCGGCTTATTCTCATTATTTGGGCCCGTGCAATGTTGAGCTATGCAATCGTTGAGTTAGTAGCGAAATCGCCGCCACACCACGAGGCTGCTGCTGTGCTGTGCTGTTGCTGCTGCTGCTGCTGCTGCCGCCATTGTGCCGACATGAAAACGACAAGAATACCAGCAGTCCTGTCCTCCTTCAGGATCCAAGTTATGTAGCAGCATGCCACAGGTGCACGTCGAATGCGAAACAAGGATCAGTTGAAAGTCGTGCTCGGTAATTACATACATACATACATACATGCATACAGACATACATCGATAAATATTGATACATGGATACACAGATACATAAGTGCATACATACATAATTGTCTCTGTGTGTGTGTGTGTGTCAGAACTCGCCGAACAGCAGCAGGCAGGAACCGGTGCCCAGCGTTCGGGCGTCGGAATGTTCTGAAGCGTGCATCTACAAGCATCATGCTTGATGCTTATTCTTGTAAAGTGCTGTTTCCGATTCTTCTCGGATAGTGTAGTTTTCTGGAGTTGTCGACGGTGGTGCTGCATAATTACACGTGGTTCTATGGCGTCGATGCAGCATGTGCTTAATGTGCTGAAATGGCTTTTCTATACATTCGCATCAGGGAGCACTTCCTCTGCTCTGCAATGACTAGGCTTGTCCATGACCGTGGACGAGCGCGCTGAGCTACGTGAGCAACTGGGTGGCGCGCCAATGGATGCAGCGCGACGGAACCAGAATCCTAAGCCAGAAAGCCCCAAAGACCCAAACCCTGATGCTAAAAAGTCCTCAACTCTAAACTGCAAGAATATACAACCTCGAACCCTGGAATGGCTTTGTTGCAGCAGGCCCGCAAGCATTTCGAGACTCCACAAAATAATGTCTACACGTTTTCAATGAAAGCTCGAGAACTGTTAATTGAGCCCTTACTTGTTGCATACTCGCACCATTCTCTTCGTGGCACCCTGCTGGAGCCTACAAAGGAAAGTACGAACATTCAGACATTTAAGACCGTTCAACCAGGTGATATTCCTCAGAGTGTAGAGTTCCTCAATACGGGACCGGCACTCAGGATAAATATTGAAGCCAAAGCCCGAACCCTAAGACCCCAGAGCTCCAAGACCCTCATTGAAGCCTTATCTTATGGTGGAGCCCTTCAGTCCACAAAATCCTACTTGGGGGATCATAAGGTTAAAAGTAGGGCTAAGGGCCCCTTCAAGGGATCTATAGGGGGGTACTATAAGGGTTTAGGGCTTACTTGGGGGATCATGGGACTTAGTAAGTAAGGTTATAAGTACCTTAATTGGGGTTAGAAGTAGTTCTACGTAGAGTTACCCTATTTATAGCCCTAGTTACTAAGTCCCATGATCCTTTAAGTAGACCCTAAGCCCTATAGATCTCTTTAATGAACCCCTATGGATCCCTTCAAAGGGACCCTTAAAGGAACCCCAGTTACTAAGTCCCATGATCCTTTAAGTAATGAATCCCCAGGCAGGTCGCCTGGTCAACTTTGCTTCTTGGCTTCGAGGCATCGGAGCGGAGCACTCGGGGTTCCAGTTTCGTGTTTAGGGTTGAGGGTTTAAGTCGGTTTAGGGTTTAGGACGTCTTGAGGTACTTGTCTAACTACAGGGGTTCAGGATTCAGGTTTGACGACATAGGGTTAGGGTTTCAGGAATTATAGGGGCAGCTCGGGGTTTACGGTTTGGGGTTTAGAGAGTTTGGAGTTTAGGTTGAGGGTTTTGGGCTCAGGGTTGAGGGTTTCTAGGGCTGAATATTTTGAATGAGTATTCCTTAGGCTCCGGTCATAAATTCTTATCCTGGGACCGTTACTACACGATTGTGTTGATTGTGTCATTCTCCGGTGGCTTTTGATGACTTACTACGATGAGCCATGGAGACTCTAAGCTTTCAGTTTGTGCAGTCAAAGTCTTGTTGCTGTTTTTGCATCTTTCGGAGCAAGAAAAGGGTCGTCATAATAGTAATAATGATAATAATAATAATACTAATAATAATAGTAACAATAATAGTATTCAAGCTTGAACGTAAGGCCCGCAAAATCACGAACTCCAACCATCCAGACGATCTTTGATTGAGAGGGACCCTTAATGGGGACCCCTACCCTATAATGGGCTACATAATGGGTATATAATTGCTATATTAAGGGTATATACCTAGAGGACCGAGAGAGAGTTTGCCGCACAGTCATGCTTGCCTTCCCAGAACAAGCACGCATGGCAAGAACAATGGCAAGCCTAACGAACCTCATCGTCGTTGTCGTCGTGGTCATGCTCCTTGTGACCACCGTCATCACCGGTATCATCGTGTTAGCATCATCACCACCTTCATCGCCATCACAATACGACCTGTAGATTTAGAGTCCAGCAGGCAGCCTTCCAAGCTGCTATGGTCTAACCTGATCGGCTCAGTAGCAAGAGTCAGCAAAAGCCCTTCGGGTTGCTTCTGGCTTGAATTCTCCGGTGTCGGGTACCAGTTTCACCAGGCAGGGCAGCCACTTTTATTCCTATTGATCTGAGCAATGGCTTATTTAATCCCGAGAACTTTTGAAATCATGGTTTTGTAGACTTGGACATGAGGATCGTGATTTTGGATAAACACAGTGATGACAGCAATGATGATGTTGGTCACGGAGTACAGGAGCAGGACATGTTGATGCATGGTCGTGTCGCCCTTGCGACAATTGTCAAACTGATGGCCAAAAGCTCTAAAACTGCGGTAGGGTTGAGTTTCCTTAACAGGCTTGGGATTTGGGGCTGATTTGGAACCGGAGTCTCAACCACTATTTTGCAAACATGTAAAACCAATACTATGCGAGCTGTCTTCTGAGTGTTACCGGTGCCGTTTTCGAACAACTCGTGTGCAGAAATCGCGGACTTTCGGCCTAGATGCAACAAGACAGGCAAGCAAGGTCCCTGAGCCCACAGCTTGGGAGGTACCTTTAGGCCCCAACTCCAACTCGGGGGTGTCAGTTGGAAGCCCACATTTCCGAATGCTATGTTTGAAGATTCCGTCCATCTACGGTTTGAATATCGTTAAACCGCCTTCGCAGACTTGTGCATGTGTTTGCATTAGAATGCTTGTGCAGGGGAGTCAGCGTTGGCATTTCGACTGCGTCGCGGGCTTAGCCTAAGAGCTACCTCGGAGTCACAGGATAAGAGTTGCACGATGTCCCGTGATTGTCTGTTCTCACCACATCACATCAGCTATCGTTGCAGGCTCAAGGAACTGTTCTGTGCTGTCTATAGTCTCCATTCTGACCAATGCTTTGTTATGATACAGGAGCCGGGCAATAGCACTAAAAAAGCCAACAGACACTATGTTGGAGACTCTGGGTCAACCCTAAAACCCCTAGACCCCTAAACTTCCCTAAACCCCAACCCCTTAAACCCCTAAACCCCTAAATTTCCCGAAACCCTGAACCCCCAAGCCCCGCAACAGAACTGGTCTAGAACCCCTGGAGAGCCCTACAGTGTCTGAGACTCTGGAGCTTCTAAGCCAGTGCTTGAGAGGGGAATTTTTAGGGTTTAGGTGCTCATTAGGGCTTTTAGGGGTTTAGCGTTTAGGGTTTAGGGGTTCAGGGTTTAGAGGTCGTTTAGGGGTTTAGGGTTTAGGAAGAAGTCCGAGATTCTAACAAGGACCGACTGGTTCCCACAATGACGCCGAGCAGCTTTCTGGGGCCTTTGCTTGAGATTCGCAGGTTGGGTCTCTTCGTTTAAGCTCGGGCGGTTTGGGGTCTAAAGTTCAGAATGTTGGCGGGCATAGTGTACGGAAGCCCTTCGGAAGTCGGGATAATTTACACGTCAGTTCAATGGCTAGAAGAATCTAGACTTAAGCTCCATCACCACTAAACACAAGATCAGCCCCAAGCCTCACTAACAGACCTTGCAATCCCCAAGCCCCTTAATCCTAGGCCCGAAACCATGATCCGCGAAACCTCCGAAACCTAATCCCGCAAACCCTTAACCCTATAAGCCCTAAAGCAGTGGCTTACAACAGGTCAATAGGAACCTTTTCTAACAAATGATGGTACATTCCTGTGTAGAGGGTTTTGGAGTGTTTGGGTAGCCGAGGGGAACATCTCCTGGGCGTCGAGCCCATTGACCTGCAGTGGCATGCCCCTGGCGAGGTGAGAGTGATGTGGTTTTTGGGCTTTAGGGTTCAGGGTTCAGAATCTAGTAGTTTCAATGTCTCTCCAAGGGTTATTCTAGTTAGGACTACTTCTCTGTCTGCCTGTGTGGGTGGGTGGGTGGCTGAGGACTCGACGAAATACCGTGAAGGCTCTGCAGCCTGAACTTTCAACCCCATCGAACCCTGTGGCCGAGCCTTGCCCAGCATTTTAACAGCCCGTAAAGAACCCATGAACCCGAATGAACTACAGCAGCCCCTCAAACGCCAATGAGACTCTGCATTTCACCCCGGCAGATCCTTACCGTACCGGGAGGCTGGGTACTGCCCTCACTCGGTAATATGGATGATATAGATATAGAATTAGGACCTCAAGAACAGTAGCCCTATTATAGACTGTTGCTGCATGGGGGGTGGGGGGGGGGCAGTACCGTACCGGGGAGGTCCTTCAATTAGGACCTTAAGAATAGTAGCCCTATTATAGACTGTTACTGTATGGGGGGGGGGGCGGCAGTACCGTACCGGGGAGGTCTTCTTGGATCGCCTTTCGCGAGTGATCTCCTCGGTTGAGACTCGAGCATCGCAGTCGCTCGAAGGAAGGTTTTGTACGGACTCCTTGCAGGGTTTTGAGAGGGTTTGGTACAACTGGGGCTTCTTGATTTCGGCCTTCTTGATGCTGCCAGGGTTTCTAGGGTTCTAAGTTTGATGGTTCAGGGTGCCGGGGTTTACGGTTGCAGAGTTGCGAGGGGGGCTAAGGGCACTTTAAGATCACTAGGCTTAAACACATGGGATCAGAAGCCAATGAAAATCCCCAACAGCAAGTCATGACGTTGTCGTTCGTTCTGTCATAACTGTTTCAGTTCATCATGTACAGCCGTTATTATTTGCGCAGAGCCGTTTTCGTTTCTGCTTTGTGAAAGAGTTTGTTGCTGCTAGATCTACTGCGCGCATTTCGAAAAACAAGACAAACGCACAGGCCCAAACCCCAAATGCCACAAAAGGACATTAAACCCTAGAACCCCGAACCCTGCACACCCGACGCCCAAACAATCCCAACCCAAAAGTTATATTTAGTGATCTTAGATATTCGTGTATGTTTAATTAGTATGGTTCTGCTCCAAGGGATTGCTCATTATATTATGTTTGTTTTGGCTCCAAGGGCGCACAACAAAGCCGTTAACGATGCAAAAGAAAGCCGTTAACCATAGAGTTCCTGAAACTCTTGCAGGAACTATGAGCAGAACCGTTAAAGCAACTCTTAGAGCAACCCCTCAAACTCTCAAGCATTCCTTAGCAGAACCCTTAGAGGAACCCTTGGAGGAAGCCTTAAAGGAACCCTTAACAGAACCCTTAGAAGAACCCTGAGAGGAACCCTGAGAGGAACCCTAAGAGGAACCCCTGAAACCTTTAAGCATTCCTTGTCTTCGCCAGCTGAGGCTCTTGGAGGGTGAGCTGCCGCCCGATAGAAAGGAGCCGCTGAAGCTGCAAAGCTCCTACGTGGGCCGGTGAGAACTCCTTAGAAGTCCTTTATGATTTTGCTGCAATAATGGTTTTGCGATCTTCTGTCCCAAAACATGCTTTAAACTCTATTCTAATCGGGAATTCCCTAAGTGTCTTGTTGTAGCTATGCTACCACATATCCCCAAACCTTTTGCATTTGTCATGATGTCCCCTATACTTGGGGGGGGGGGGGTTGGGGTTACGCATCGTTGAGGCAGTTGAGGGATCAGGATGTGTTGTTGAGTTCAGGGCGCAGAGAAATCTTACATAATTGCCTTTCAATTTGGAGGTTCAGTGCTGTCGGGGCTGACAGTATGCTCAATCCGGGCAGCATATCACAATAAGCGAGGTCTACTAGCTGGGATGCTTACGGCAGCAAGGTACCCGTAACCTTGCGGTGAAGGATGACATGTTGGACCAGCTCCCTAAACCCTGACCCCCTTAAATCCTAAACCCTAACCCACACGTCGTAAACCCTAAACCCTAAGCCACTGATCCTAAGTTCTCAGCCAAGAAAGGCGCTTCTTCGTGGATGCGATTTCCAAGCCCTGGGTTCCTGGACCTGGTTTTTGTGGAGGATGTATATAGTAGGACTTAGAAGGTCTTAGGTTTAGGTGTTTTTTGGATTTAAGGTTTAGGGTCTTAGGGTCTTAGGGTTGAAGGTTTCAGGGGTTCGTGCCTTAGGTCTTAGGGCTTAGGCGGTTTAGGATTTAAGAGTTGGGTTCAAGATGTATGGTTTCTGAAGCCACGGGGTCCTGGATCTGGTTTAGGATGCAGGATACAGAAAGAAATCGGATGTAGGGCGTTGGCTTTAAGATGTCGGGTTTCGGGGTTCGGGATTTAGAGTCGAGATTCCATGCAGCTACGCTGGGTTGGGTAAAGTCTTGCATTCCATGGTACTCTGAAGCCTTAGAGCAGCAACGCAACCTCAAGTTTCACACATATTCCTGGACAGTCATAGGCTTTAGGCTTTAGGCTCCGGGCTTTGCCCTTTAGCGTTGCTGGATTTCCCGCCGAGCTTGTGTTGAAGTCCCGGGTTGAGGTGTAGAGCTACTGCCCCCACTCATCCACAGTTGAAGAGTATCTAAGTTATGGATATTATAGACTGTTACTGTATGGGGGCAATATCCAACCTAGAGCCCACTTGGCATAAGCTCTCGTCTGTGCCCAAGACTCGCAGCGACGTCGTTGTGAACATGGAGCCTCGGCCCGATGGGTGGAGGGTTTAGGGTTTAGAGTGCTGCCAGGAAGTCGCCGTTGTTGTTGCTGTTGCCTCCGGTGGTGTTCGTGCCACCTTCCATGCCATCGGTACTGCGACGATCAGCTCCGCGCTATCCACGATCGTCGGCCTCGAGCGTCGCCTTTCATCACCATAACGATCATCATCTTGGGGTTCTCATGAGACGTCTCCAGGCTTGTTGTCTTGTTGACCCTGTTCAGTACCATCGCCATCACCACCACGGTCATGATCAGACTTGTCGTCGTGATCCTAGCTGCGGAAGTTTTCCCAATGGTGCCATGATTATTCTTGGTGCTGTCGCTGTTGCTGCTGCAGCTGCTGCCAGGAAAGGTGCAATTTGTTGCTTGGAAGGGCGCATGAAGTCTATGGTAGTCCCTTCTTGGGGTTACCGTATATGGTCCTGAGTATACCACTGGTTAAACATGGTTAAACCACAAGCTGGTGCATGAATGCTGCCACAACTGGAACATGCGCCACAACATGCGGTGTAATATGTTCACATGCATCGCCTGAGACGATGACTGGAATTTCGGGGGGGGGGGGGGCGGGGCAGTCTCATAGTTCAGGTTTCCTAACGTTGATCTTAGTGATGATCAGAGTAGGAGTACTGCAAAAAACAACAAAAGCGATTTGCGGCTTAAACGCTAGAACTCCGTCCCCAGAGACCGTTCAAGAGACCATGCTTATCTCGCAAGGATCCTCAACCGGAGCCGAGGGTTCCAGGGTACTACTACTACTACTACTACTACTACTACTATTACTACTACAACTGCTGCTGTTACTACTTCTACTACTGCTGCTACTACTGCTACTACTACTACTACTACTTCTACTACTGCTGCTGCTGCTACTACTGCTACTACTTCTGTTACTGTCCAGGAAGGGTTTAGAGGCTTTTGGGTTTAGGGTTTGTGCTATTGCTGCTGTTACTATTGCTGTTATTAGCATCCCCATTGCTATTACTACGACTATGGACCAGCATGAATGTTCTCAGTATCTGGGGTCTGAGAATATTCGTCAGGAAAAACAGCCATCGAATCTTTGTTTCGGACAGTTTTTGGGGAATGTTAGGCGGGTAGAGCTGGGGGCCGCTCCCTTAGGCACCACACTGCGCTGTCGAACCGCCAACCTTGACCCCCATGAACCCTAAGCCCTAAACCCGAAAACCCTAGGGTCGGGGGGGCAGATTTCTAGAGTCTGATGTTTGGGATTTAGGTTCAGGGCTTGGTTTGTTAAAACCCCAAACCCTAGGCTCTGAGCCGTCCAAGTCCAAAGCTCTGTTTGCCAGGTCGGGCTCACCCTTCCCGAACATGTGCCGGAGTCTGCTCGCTTGCTTTCCTTTGTTGTACTGGTATCGTTCATAGTTCGTTGTTATGATGCTGATTCATGTTTTATTAATATCCCAATGAAGTCTTGGTTACACAGATTTTCTGAAGCCATCATCCAGATTTTACTTCTGGTTGGGTCCCGGCTTCAGAGCAGTAGCAGCAATAATGATAATGATAGTATTAGTAGTAGTAGTAGTAGTAGTAGTAGTAGTAGTAGTAGTAGTAGTAGTAGTAGTAGTAGTAGTAGTAGTAGTAGTGGTAGTAGTAGTAGTAGTAGTAGTAGTAGTAGTAGTAGTAGTAGTAGTAGTGGTGGTAGTAGTAGTAGTAGTAGTAGTAGTGATTATCAACAAGACAATATTAGTAGCAGTAGTGGTAGCTAGAATAGCACTAGTACTAGCAAGAGTAGTAATTACAGCAGTAACAGCAATAACAGTAATAAAGCCGTGTAGGCAGGTTTCCTGGGTGATGCAGGGACGTTTTAGGAGTAATGTGGAGAGTGCGGAATAAGTATTTCTGCCCGTGTGGTTGTTGATCGTGTGGTCACAGTCTTGCCAATTGTCCTGCTTCTTATTCGCATGATGACAGCTGTTATCAAGGAGACCAGAAGGTCCAGAGTCTTTATAGTATACTTAACCCCCAAAATTAGTAACGGTAATTATTGAGGCCCCTCTATTACTAGTATACACATGACTCGGAGCCATGGGGAGCTGCGGCAGTGGACTCGGCTTTGCATCGGGTCTGCTATATGCATCCTGTTGCAAGGTTGTTCATTTCGTCCAGGGCCAGAGCCGACATGCGACGACGTCAATGTTCCCCCTGGGTCATATGACCTTGACATCAATGCCAGTGCGTTTGCACATGAGTTCGTCCGTGCTTTTCGCATCAAGGGACAAGTGAGATTCAACGATTTTTGCGTTGACTACCCGAACTTGTTCACCGGAATGGGCCCTGAAGGTCTTGTGTTTATGTCCCATGGCCTGGGGCAAGCGTATGGCAGCGAAAAGGGCAAAATGACCTTCTACTGCCAGTCGGCAGATTTTGTGGGCCCGCTGGGGCGTGTACTGGATACTGAAGGTGGTGAGCTGCGCTCCATTGGCAGGCTTGATGATGGCAACTGGCATGACGTGGAAGTAGTTAAGAGCAGGACAAGTGCCTCCCTCATCATCGATGGACAGAAGCATGCCGAAGCCGCCATCGTCACAGGCTTGTCAGCTCAGGATTTCATTTTGAGGCCCATCGACACCATCCACATTGGTGGTAAGGTGGAGGACATTGAGTTCACGCCCTTTGACGGAGACATGCGCAATGTGACGATCTATGTAGGGGATCCAGAGCGGCTTGTTTTTGAGAGCGTCTGAAATCTGAAATAGGACCGAGATTCCAGCAATTGCCGCATGTAGTGCTTTTGCACTTAGGTTCTCAAAGCCTGCAATGGGGTCCCATAGCCCTGTCCATGTTGTTCCCATCATTGGTATTAGTGATATCGTGATTGTTATTGTTTGTGTTGTTGATGTTGCTACTGCTGTTGTTGGTTGGTTGGTTGGTTGGTTGGTTGGGTGGGTGGGTGGGTGGGCGGGTGGGTGGGTGGGTGGGTGGGCGGGTGGGCGGGGGGGTGGGTGGGTGGGTGGGTGGGTGGGTTTGGTTTGTTGGTTAGTTGGTTGGTTGGTTGGTGGATATCTTGTTTTCTGATGTGGTATGCTTTCATGTTCGTTCTTGTCGTCACAGTAGTTACGGACGGTTCTGGTTGTTGTCGTTGCTCGCCGTGGCCAGAGGTCATGTTGGGGTGGTGGATGTTGTGCCGTTGATTTGTTTGCTTGATGTTGTTGTTGTTGGTACAGACAAAAACAGCAGCCCGTACTTGTTGTTAATTAGAAGCAGTTGGGAATGCTTCCGGCGACCGCATAGGGTGCCTGTAGAGTTTTGGGAAGTGCAAGCCATGGTTTACACAGCAACTGCCCCATGATAGAAATGCGGTCTAGGCTGGGTGGTTGTTGTCAAAGTGGGGTGGTCAAAACAACAGACGGGGCTCCAGTTTTTGCTTCTGCTACAGGGGGTAGAGACAAAGGCACCAGCGAAATCAGGACTTTGTCCCTACCCCATGTAGTAGAGGCAAAAACTGGAGCCCCGTCTGTTGTTTTGACACCCCCCCCCCTTTACAACAACCGCCCACATTACACCACATTTCCACCACAGGTATAGGAATCTGCGATATCCAGAAGGGGTTCTGAGGGGTGTTGGAAGGGCTTGTCTGGAATTTTGAGGGGTTTGCATTGGATACCCATACACTCAAAACTATAGTTACCAGTTACTATACAGTAGTTTGTACAGGCCTCGCAAATGCATAATCTGCACAGCGGGGAACTGAAATACACACCAAATCCATTGAAAATACACACCAAAATCATTGAAATGCACACCAAATCCACTGAAATACACACCAAATCCATTGAAAGACACATTAAATCCACTGAAATACACACCAAATCCACTGAAATACACACCAAATCCATTGAAATACACATTAAATCCATTGAAATACAAACGAAATCCACTGAAATACAGACGAAATCCATTGAAATACACATCAAATCCACTGAAATACACACGAAATCCACCGAAATACTCACGAAATCCATTGAAATACGCAAGAAATCCATTGACATACAGACGAAATCCTTGAAAATACACACCAAACAGTATACATCACAGGCATCCACAGGCACTGTGTTGTTGTTGTTGTTGTTGTTGTTGTTGTTGTTGTTGTTGTTGTTGTTGTTGTTGTTGTTGTTGTTGTTGTTGTTGTTGTTGTTGTTGTTGTTGTTGTTGTTGTTGTTGTTGTTGTTGTTGTTGTTGTTGTTGTTGTTGTTGTTGTTGGGGGGGGGGTAAAACAACATGACGGGGCTCCTGTTTTTGTCTCTACCTAATGTACAGACAAATGCTGCTGTTGCAGTTGCTGTTAGTGTTGCTGTTGTTGTTGTTGTTGTTGTTGTTGTCGTGGTTGTTGTTGTTGTTGTTACATTTGGCATCGTTGTAGTTTTTTACGGTTGCTGGTATTGCTATTTTTGCTGCTGTCTTTATTATTGTTGCATCGCCGCCTTGGTTATCATTATTATTTCTATTATGGTTATGATTATGATTATTATTAGAGGTGTTATTGTTATTGTTATTGTTATTGTTGTTGTTGTTGTTGCTGTTGTTGGTGTTGTTGCTGCTGGTGTTATAGGTGTTGCTGTTGTTATTGTTGTTGCTGGTGCTGTTGTTGTTGCTGCTGTTGTTGTTGTGGTTGTCGCTGTTGCTGTGTCTAATTGTTGTTGTTGTTGTTGTTGTTGGTGGTGGTGGTGGTGGTGCTGCTGCTGCTGCTGCTGCTGTGTTTGATTTATGCTGTTGCGTTGTTTTTGTGTCGTTATTGGTGTTGCTGTTGTTGTTTGGGTGTTTGTGTTTGTTGTTGTTGTTGTTGTAGTTGGTGCTGTTGTTGTTGCTGTGTGCTTGGGCAAATCAAATACATGCCTAGTATCATCTAGCGATTGAATAGACTGCCGGTTACAATATTTATAACTTTGTGATTCATGCGGTTGCACAATCAGGCTTGTATTCTATCGGAGAGTATTAGGCGGACCATTGTTTGTTGACTATGTTTTGGGTACGGCCCCCACTCAGTAGTAGTTGAATAATATTCATAGTATAGATATATTAGGACCCTACTAGTAGCCCTATTATAGACTCTGACTCTTTCTGTATGGGGGCAGTACCTAAACTATATTACAACCATGCGGCACGGTCCTGCTTTCTGCCCTAAGATGGCACGCGGACGAGGCGGCAGGCCGCCCGGCGTTGCCCCAGGGTGTAGTGGGAGCTACCCTTCTTTGGAGGAACTCCCAAATCTTGGCATTTGGGGCTGTTTCACCTCTAGTCACCGCTACAGCAATCCATGCAGCCGCTGCTTGAGAAAGGGCAGAGATTCCTGCTGTTGCTCTTTCGGCTTGGTAAAGTACATACCCAAGCTTTATTCTGGAATTTGCGGCCCTCGCATAGTCTCGTCGACATGATGCCGAGCGAGCCCCAAGCCTACGACGAAGGTCGAGCCGTACCCCAAGCTCACCCCCAAAGATTTACCGTCCAGTTTAAAGCAGTGCAGAACAAATCCCAAACCTTGTAAACCCTGACCCATCCCAAGGCCTCTGCTTAACCTTAAACCCTAAACCGCTCTGCGAAACCCTAAGATCTCCATCGTGTAAGTCTTCAACCCGAAACCTGGCGCAAAGTGACCGAGGATTCGATAGCTCGCCTTCAGCACCCTGGCTTCTAAGACATCAATTCTGTTGTTTTTGCGCTTGTTAGTTTTGGGGCCAGGCATTGAGACTAGGTGTTGGGGCTACAATAAGGTTTACTGTATATAGGGGCACTACAAAGGTTGAGGGTTTAGGGCTTAAGCTGGAAGGGTTTGGGAGATTCTTGGATCAAAGTGTTGGATCTGGCGGGTTAGGGCTCCGGTGACAAAGGCAGCAGCAAGGCGTGGTGGGGGCTTAGGGTTTAGAGTTTCGGTTGTGTTTCAGATTTCGGGTCGGGGTTTCGTATATGTTGATCATGGCTGCTCCCTTCTCAAAGTATCCCCCAAAACTCTGCGCCTGCCTTGAAGCTGCCTTTCCTGGAATCTTATACAAGGCCCAGCTGAAGCTAAGTCCAGTGAGGCACGATTAGCAGAATTAATGCCTGTGACCCCGTTAACATCTCATAATCGTGGTCACGATGAAGACGACGACGATAATTAACTAGCAAGCCGGGCACTGCGCATTCACCTGCAGACTTCCTGCCACTCCTGTTGCTACAAGTATTATGACGACGGCAACGACAACTAGCACAACCCCTGTAAAGCAAACCGAAAGCCCTAAACCCGAAACCCTCAACCCAAAGCCCCAAACCCTAAACCCTGAACCCAAAGCCCCCAAAACCCGAAACCACTTGCAGAGAAGTTCGGCCCAAGGCAGGGCCTCCTTTCCACCGGGCGGTATGAGGAGGTCCAGAAGACGCAGGCAATGGGGTGGAATGGCTTTGGGGTTTCGAATTTGGATTAGTGTTTAGGGCTTTTAGGGTCGAGGGATGACAGCTCTGGTTTAGAGTTTAGGGTTTTAGTCGTTTGGTAGGGCATCCGGCCCTACAACTAATTTACGGTACCTTGCATCAGCCCTAGCAGGGTCCAGAGACGACCAGTTCATGGACATGTTTTCGTTCTCCGGATAGAGGCCCGATGCAGAAACCCTCTAGCCGAAACTGGCCCTAAGCCCTGAACGACGCTGCGAATTCGTACAAGTTTTGCGAGTTTCTTACGGCTTCCGGTTTCGTCCTTCAGGGATGGGTTTCCTACTGTTCGCATGGTTTTGTTAGCATCTAGGGCCTTGGATGGCCCAATGCATCCAAACGTGCATAGACGCTATAGTCACTAATACTTAAACAAACACCACGCCAATATTATATATAATATATTATAAGTATCAGCTTCTTCTCCTGAGGATCGAGGGAAAAAGGCGCAGGGTTGCTCCTTCGGGCACTCGGATCTCCACTTCCGGGCGTTCGTTGTACATATTATGGGTGGTTGTCAAAATTAGGGTCCCTTTTTGGGTACCCTAAATATTTGGTGCCGTATTATAATAAGGACCCAAAAAGGGACCATACTTTGGACAACCACCCATATAATGGTTTCATCAGCGAATCATCACACCGCCCTGAGCCTACTTGTAAGATCTCACAACCTCAATCTGAGCATGGGCATGGGTGCTGGGCGCTGGCAAACCACTGCACCCCACTCAGATCTGCATGTGGGTACATGGGCATATCACCAATGCAGGTGAAAGGTGAGCCGCGACGCACTACACAGCCACTGGGACATTCAAGGTTTAGGATTCAGGGTTTCATCGGATTTCCTCCAAGTTGCAGGTTTGACTAGTATGCGGTTGACCTGTTCCGTGGCGGCATGTAGTAGCACATTTCTTTCAAGGCATGGGCTGCAAGCCCAGAACGAAGATGCCCTTCTGCGAATGCGACATGTTGGGAGCAGTTCAGATGCAGCTGAGGAACTGGATTTCCTCGGCCAGAAGCCCAGTGATTGCCGGCGTGATCAACTTAGGTTTCGCCTTGTTCCCAAGAGGGTCCATATACACTACTATTATGGAATTAGGCCCCCAAAACCACGGTCTTTTGGGACCTAATTCCATAACGGTGGTATCTGTGGACCCTCAGGGTTCGTTGTTGTCATCTCGGCTGGGGTTGGTTTGTTCAGCAGAGAAAGAAGGGATCAACAGCAAGCGCTGTTGGTGACCTAGGAGTTGGTGAGACGTTTGTAGAGAGCTTGATTCGAGGAGAAGCACGATGATGAGTATGGCCTGGGCCTTGGGCAGAGATCAAGTTTTAGGGCCTTGTATCGGTTTCATAAGCGAGTCTTGTCGACTGTGAGCTACAGAGCTCGTTGAAGATGTGGAGCTGAATTTGGACAACAACTCATACGGGCAGCAGAGAGTAATAGTTCAAGGTTTGAGGTGACTCCAAGTCAAAAGTTCTTACACACACATACACACACATATATATATATATATATATATATATATATAGAATATGTGTACACTCATATATATATATATATGTATGTATATATGATATTATATGGGGTCCTGGGTTCAGGGACTGTCGATGCGCAGCAGACTACTGCACCTTTGAGTAGAGTTTGGCTTACTTTCATTGTTTCCGGCCCGATACCCAAACTCTAAAACCCTCAAACATCCTAAAGCCCATACGTCGAGGCAAGGAGATCGTCCTTCACTACTTGCCACCCCCTCCGAACTTTCTGCCCGAGCTGTACAAAGGTCTCCAGCGCCGCAGTAATGTGGGCGGGCGGGGGTTAGGATTGAGGGTGGGTTTTCAGAGGACGTAACACCGTTTTGCGACATGCGGCACAGCCGTCACTTCCGGGCCTGCATTTTGGGTGTAGGCGTGCATGCATTCGAGGCTCCATGTACCAGAGGCTTCAGGCTCGCGTTTTGTTGCAGTCAGAAACCGATTTCGTTTTTACTACAGAAAACCTTCACATTCTACCGTATAGGTACTTAGGACCCTTTGGGAAGGGTCGTGATGCTAGTGCTCCAGATCTTCTTGGTGTTCGTGGGGGTTCTGGCGTGGCCTGGCAGTCTTCAACTTCCATCCTTGTGCCGCCTGCGGCAAAATCGAAGCCTCCAAGGCAGAGACTCGGAGGATTTCGGACGGGAACAAATGGGTGGTTGTCAAAATTATAGTACCTTTTTGGGTCCCTAATATAATACGGCACCTAATATTTAAGGTGCCCAAAAAGGGACCCTAATTTTGACAACCACCCAAATGTCCTGAACGCCTGAACCCCTCCTATCCGGCAACGATCGAAATCCTCCCACCCTGAAGCTTTGGAGACTGGAACCGTGGAGATATGGTGATTTTTGTCCTTAGAGCCAAGGTTACTTCGAGTGTGTCCACAGGCGACCGGCAGGGTTCGGGCCGGCGGAGGATAGTTCGGATCCTTTGTATTAGTTGGAGGTTCGTGGGAAGTTATATGTGGGGGGTAACTATACTTAGGATTCATATCAGGGGACGTATTATAACCCTACTTATAACTACCCATGAACCTCCAAGTAGGGCCGATTAGGGTTCAGAGTTGAGGGTTTAGGGTTTTGGGCTCGGATCCTTTGTAGCTGCTACCTCATCTTGAGTCGACTATGAAGTGCTGCTATGCAAGCCTCAAGCTCAAGCCAAAAACACTTTGAGCCCTAACATAGGGGCCTTAATAATCAGAATAGGGTTTTGGGGCCCATTATACTATGGTTACAATAGTTGCAAGAAGGAGCCCCCCACAATAGTAGAGGTAATTAATTTACAGTAGGCCCCTATATTAACCCCTATCTCTGGAAACTCGGGCCCCAAAAGCAGGACTGAGAAGATCGCAATGATTTGCTGGTAGCTCACGGCTGCTTTCACCAGGCTTTGGGCTTCCTTGCTAGGTGATTCTGTTGGAGTATTCCCTACGGGTTTTTTTTGATGCATGCGCAAGTTTGGATTCACCTTGCCCCCTGCTTCGCAATAGCAATGAGATACTGCTTCGTCGCCATTTATGCTGCTCATCGCCTTCCTTGCCCTCTTCTGACCCAGACTCCCTAAACTCTGAAACGTGACGTGAGGATGTTGGAAGATCCAGACATGGATCCGATCGTTTGTGCCACCATCGCGAAGATCGCACTGAACACGCCACTTGGCCTGGGGTTCACGGTTTCGGGATGCTGAGACGATGCCCTGAAATCCCGCGGCAAAAGCCTTGACACCCAGAACACGAGCAAAATTGTGGCGAGAGCACGACTGCAAAGGCGAAGAAACAGGACTGGCAAGGAGATGATGTGTATAGTAGGATTTTATTGGTTACAGTGTATTGTAGTATATGTGTCAGCATTCATAAACTAATGAATTGCGACTTGAATGTTTAAGTCAGCACAGACAATTGCTAGAGGCTAGTGGAGGAGTTCCAGTCAATCGCACTCCAAATCATGCACAGATATATGGCGGGAGCCATTCACCACATTAACGAGAGCACCAAAGTGGGAGTTTCCGAAAATAAGGGACCCTAATATAGTACCCTAAATAGTAGGATCCTTATGATAAGGACACCAAAATAAGGTACGCCTAATTTTCGGAAACTCCCAAGCGATGATCTGTCTAATGAATTCGTCGGAGGGGGCCCGAGTAGGACAAATCTGTTTAGTCTGAATGCAAGGACGCCATGACGTTGCAACACAGCCTGTGCAAGACACAGCACATCATGATGATAGTAATGGCCACGATGGTAATAGTTATCATCATCACGGTCACACTCATGAGCATCATCAGCGCCAGCAAGGTACATCACGAATATTCATCACTATGGCGATAACTGGGTCAAAGCCGACATCCCCTAGGCGATGCCCATCCTGCTACACAGCCCGAACCGCGGATAGAAATCGGTTAGTTTACAGGGTTCGGAATCACTGGTATATAATAGTATTCCCCTTATGCCCTTGCATTCCCGACTAGAGTGGACCCGCAAACCCACGTAAATTGATTTAACTTCTGGCATAGCACCGTATAGTATAGGATCGGATGGTGTGGTATGGAGTTTTTGCCAAGGCTCCACCCAATGGCAGATGGCAACGGGCGGGTGCAGCGGATGATCTTCCAGCTCGTGCTCTTTAGGCGGGCGCCGGAGACGTCCCTAGAACCTACGGCCCGCTTGGGGTTTGTGGTCCGCGGTAACCAATGAGACACAAGAAGAATGGTAGGACGTAACAGAAAATGCTGCTGATAATAGTTATTAAAACTGAACAAGACTGTCACCTGTACCCGCGCAAGGTCTTACTAGAAGGTTATGAGAAGCTAAACCGAGCCCTAAACCCTCAACCCTCAACCAGCACGGTCAAGGAGTCCCGGACCTCAAGCCGCTGCTTGAACCGGAGAGCTCACCTGACAGGTTCAACTTCCTCCCGCGAGTGAACATCCCCGTGTCCGTGGTCGCTCAACTCGCGAGTTCTGGAAAGCTTGGGGCCTGGGGATTCGTATCCGACCCAGGGCCTTGAAACCTGGACTCCACACCCCAACTTCCCGTAGAAATTGGAGTGTTCCCCAAGCGAAGGTCTTCGGGTAGTGGATCGAAGCGTGAGGCTTGCTCGCCCGTCCCAAAACTCCTAAAGCCGTCTGCTGACCTGGATAGGACTTGGAGTGCTGACTTAGCTGAGGCCGTTAGTTTAAGGTTCCCGGTCTTTTGATTTAGACTTAGGCTTTGCAATTCGGGCACTCGGGTATGCCAGATAACCACTCCCGGGTATGGGAAGCCTTCCAGCAGAAAGGCAAGATGCTCTACAGAGTCTCCTAGCTCATCCAAAAACAGCTTTGGCATTTATTTAAGCCCCTAGAAGCTAGGCTTATTGGCTGTAAGCTAAACTTTTCAACTTTTGGGGTTCTTATAAGGTAGTCGATTCTGAAAGTTTCAACTTTTAACTCCTTGGGTTTTGGCCAGTGAGGAAGTAGACCCATGACCCCTAAGCTCCTAAGCGCCGAAAGCTCCAAGAGGCCCTTAAACCCAAGAAGGAGCCACTTGGAACATGGGCGTTTCCGAAAATTCGGGGTACCTTATTTGGGGTCCTTATCATAAGGATCCTACTATTTCGGGTACTATATTTGGGTCCCCTAATTTTCGGAAACGCCCACATTCCTGATGGTCCCATAGCAACCCGAGGCTCAAGCCTCTAAGATGCCCCGGATCCAACAGCAGAAGCCTGCCCAAGAACACGGCTCAGTGTCTCCATGTTGGGTTTGGGGTTTAGGGTTTTAGGGTCTACTGTTGGGTTTGGGGTTTAGGATTTAGGGTTTGGGTTTTAGGGTCTACTGTTGGGTTTGGGGTTTAGGATTTAGGGTTTGGGTTTTAGGGTCTACTGTTGGGTTTGGGGTTTAGGATTTAGGGTTTGGGTTTTAGGGTCTACTGTTGGGTTTGGGGTTTAGGATTTAGGGTTTGGGTTTTAGGGTCTACTGTTGGGTTTGGGGTTTAGGATTTAGGGTTTGGGTTTTAGGGTCTACTGTTGGGTTTGGGGTTTAGGATTTAGGGTTTGGGTTTTAGGGTCTACTGTTGGGTTTGGGGTTTAGGATTTAGGGTTTGGGTTTTAGGGTCTACTGTTGGGTTTGGGGTTTAGGATTTAGGGTTTGGGTTTTAGGGTCTACTGTTGGGTTTGGGGTTTAGGATTTAGGGTTTGGGTTTTAGGGTCTACTGTTGGGTTTGGGGTTTAACCCTGACACATCAGAAACCTCACGAGCCGAAGCAACCCAGTTGCGCTCGACATCATTAAACACGACCGCAAGCCTGGAACCCCAAATCCGGAGCCCCGAACATGAAGTAAGCATACTGAGGCCGAGGACCTCAAACTCTAACCCTGGGCATCAAAATAGCACAAAAGCCTTATATAGTAGGCTTTTTGGGCCCAAAAGCCTTAATGCATGAGTCCTTAGAGCCCTAGGGCCCTAGGGTAACAGCACTAGAGTCGACACCCTGAAACCTTTACTGAAGAATGACCCTCGACAACTCAAGTCAAAGAGTGGGCTCAAGCGCTTGAGCAAAATCTGCAGACCCTGGCTAAGTAAATCCCAACTCATTAAACCGAGACTTCGGAGCCCCAGACCTTCACAGTTTCACAAGTCCTTACGAGTTCAGCTCAACACCGCCATACCCGAAACCCTAAATTCATAGCTATTGCCTCAGGTAATGCTGCAGGCCTTGGGGGTTCTGGGGAAGAATCGGTGCACAAAATTTACAGGGTTCTCGTGGGGTCTAGTATAATGCATCCCACACGACATCTTTGATATCACTAAGAACCCCTGTTCTACCGGGAACGGGACCCGAGAGTTTGAGAAAGATTAGCACATCGCTCGAAACGGAAGACTAGACTGAAGGCAACAAAAAGAGAGGGACTGGAGAAGGAGAACATGCAAGCTGCTCGAAAAGAAATGGAGCACAGCGAAGAACAGGCGCAGCCGCTCGAGAAGAAATGGAGAGTTTGAGGACAAATCTAAGCAGGAAGGATCATTGGAAGACAGCAAGCGCACAGGGTTTGCAGGGTCGAACTGAGAAATTCGACTGACTGTCTAGGTTTCGTTGATGACCTTTTTGCCACCCTTGCCGAAGCCTTGCGCGCAGCCATCTTTGGCAACTCATGGGCGGGGACTTGATATTTAGTCGGGCTGCAGGCGCTTACGTGGTCTCCGTGCGTAGGCTGCGCGACCCAAGCTCACGACGAGAAGCATCGAGAGCCTACTTTTTGTTTGTTCCGGTGCTGCTCGCGCATGCGTTATGGAATTGAGTTTTCGGCCCGCTAGCTGAGATGCGCTGCAAGATCACCTAAACCCCGAGCCTCAAGCCTTCGCTCAGTCTCACTGCCCAAGCACCCGAACCCGTAAAGTCTGTATGGGGTACAGTGCAGAGCCAACGACAGGATCGTACCGGCTACGAGGTGATGCAGTGGCTCGGCTAATGAAACAAAGAACATGTGCGGATGTCCTAAGTTCGGAGGTCGAAATTCATGAGTCAGGGTTCCGGAACTGGAGATTCAGGGTTTCCTGGATTTCGCGCGGGGTGCGGGAGGCTCAGACAGCAAGGAAAGGGAACATAGATCGCAAACTATAAGAAGCCCCATCATGAGGACCCCCATTGTGATTGAAACCCTTCTCCCCAGAAGCAGCGTTCCTGGTAGAATCGGGAGCAGGGCCGTGTTGAACTCGACAGCTGCTCCTTCAGATTTCTTGTCGTTGTCTTCTATCCGTTGTCTTGGCTGGTTTAGGGTTACGTGCCGTTGGTTGTTTACGTTTACGTTACAACCAGCCCTCAGCCTCCAGCCTCTGTGACGGAGCCCATCCGACGAGCCGCAAGGCAAGGGCACGTGGACCAGATCATGGCAGGCACTCGCAGATGTTGAGGGTTTGGGGTTTACGGTTAGGGTTTGGGGTATTGCAGCCTTCGATTTTTTTTTTTGGGGGGGGGGGGGAGCCTGTCGAAATTGGAGTCCTGGCTTGCGTTAAAGGTCGACTCTTCAGAAGTTGATGACAGATCTGGGCTTCGTGCGTGCGCGGGTCCATGGCCCGGGCTTCTGACTGAGGTTAAATCAGAGTTTCTGTCCTTCCTTGAGATCCTTACAATTACATATGGATACCCTGAGGCCCCAAAGTAGTTCCTTTTGGGGGTTCATAACCCTATATAATAATCCGAGAAAGGAACTACTTTGGGGCCTATGGATAAGCCCTGAACCATGACATTCGTAACTCTCAACGCAAGAGCCCGAAGACTTGAACCTGAAGTCTTAAATCGTATGCCAGCTCTGAGACCCCAAGACATTAAAGCCCGAAGCAAACAACGGAGAAAGCACCCGAGCCTAGACCCTCAACCCTACTATGATCCTACATGAATCCAGATTGAAACGAATAGGTCTGAAGCATCATCGGATTCGACTGCCGGGAGAGGAAGAGGATTCGCCTCTTTCTCAGACCTTGGTCTTCGGTTCACAGTTCAAGGTTGGGTTTTGAGGGTTTATGTAGGGCTTAGGGGTTTAGGGGTTTATAGGGCTTATAGGGTTTATGGGGTAGGGACCGGTAGGGATTTAGGGGTTCAGGGTTCACAGGATTAGGTTGAAGGTCGTGCGGAGGAGGGGGGAGGTCGAGATTTAGGGTTTCGGTTCGTTAGGAGGACGGTATCGAGTCCTGTAAGTTAAGAGGGTTTGTTCCCCAAGCAGTGTGGATTTGGGTTAACAGTAAAGAGAGTGTTGATTGTCACCTTATTTTGCAGCAGATGCTGTAAATCGGTTCCTCGCGCTCTCGTGGTGTCTTGATGGTCTCCTACTGGTCTCCTGGGTGCCGGTGGTCTCTTGATGGTCTCCTGGGGGTTTCATGGCCGTTTCCTCATGCTGGAACAGCACAGATTGCAACTACCCTAAGGCTCCAAAGTAGTTCCTTGTTGGGGTTCATATGTAAAATCCTACAAGGTAATCCCCAAAAGGAACTACTTTGGGGCCTATGGGTAGCTGCGACCTGTCATTTCCCAAGCATAGCGAACGAGCGGCCTCGTAGAGGAACATCCTGCGGAAAAGACAGACCACAACCAGTTGCGAACTGCATTCGCGTGATTCTGGTGTGATCTTTCACTGTCTCCTTGGCTCCTTGTGACATGAACTTCAGCTACATTTCTACATGAGCGGAATATCGTAACTGCTTAGTTTTTCATGTTTTTCACGATGGTCCCAGTGGTAGCGTGGAATAAGATCCGCGTCTAGAACGGCCTTCGAGAGTGCCTTTTCGAGCTGAGATTTGAGGGCTGCGAGCTTTGGAGTCTGCAGCCTTCCGATCAAAGCATGCAACGCAGAGCCATACAGTCATAGAGGTCTGAAGACTGAGTCGTCGTGTTCTGACTAGGAGTCATCTGACCGCGCGCCTGGGCCCATTCTTGACCGCAATGAGAGTCGCAGAGAGAGACGGTGTCTAAATAGCAAAATCCAAAGAATCAGTTCAAGAGACACCTCAAACTGCAGTGACGACGTCGACCCGAACTCGAAAGCCGGGGTAGCATGCGCCCAGCACCTCCAAGCTCGCACCAAATCTCTCCCCCCTCAAAGCCTAAGACAAGCCCACAGAGTTGCGCAGCACCAGCGCCAAGCCATGTTCCAATGTATAAGTTGTGAAAAAGGCATATAGGGTCAATAAGGTGAACCCTAAACCCTAAATATAAGGCTTTAAAGAATGCAACGGCTCTTTGAGCTCGAGCCGGCCGAGGTTTCAGCACATCGATCCGAAGGAGGGCTTGAGGCCGGTCTACCAGCAACTGGGCGGCTGACATGCAGCTCTATGTCTTTAAGGTTTGAGGTTTAGGGCTTATACGGGCTTATACTCATCTCTATCTCTTTAAGGTTTATACGGCTTAGGGCTGCTATTCATCTCTATCTCTTTTAGGTTTAGGGTTCAGGGCTTATACTCATCTCTATCTCTTTCAGGTCAGGGCTGCTATTCATCTCTTGCTAGGTGGCACTTTGGGAAACTTTCTAATTTCCCTTATGGTTCCTATAGAGGTACCTATTCATAAACAATACGTTTCAGAGCCCCAAAACCACAACCCAGCTTGTCCAACACGAGACGATTAAGGATGAAAGGAATCGGGCTTAGGGGTCGGTATCGCTATCTCCTAGCTTCCAAGGGTAAAAGGAGGGACCCGTAATCAGGACCCCTAGGTATATACCCTTCATATAGCGATTATATACCCATTATACAGCCCCATTATAGCGTAAGGGTCCCCATTAAGGGTCCCCTTTGATAGCTGGTCAGATTCGGGAAGGTGGTGACGAACGTGTGGGGGAAAAGTCTTGATGCGGCCCTGAAACCTGAAACTTAACTCCTGGACTGTGCGGCATGGCAGGAGGCGGTTAACATATGTAGCGCTGAGCTGTAGCAGCTATGCAAACCTTGAAATCGGATCTTTTCTGAGGGCCAAAGGGTCCTGCAAGGTACCAGGACTTCACCTTTGCTGTGAGCTGCCCGTCTTGGTTCAGAGGTCGCGGCAGGCCAGGAGGGCTTTTGGGACTTAGGACGTCGGGGGTTCTCGGGTTTAGGATATATCTTCAGGCTTCCGGGAGAGTGGTGTGGCCACTAGGCCAATTTTAGATCGGCTTTTGTGGTCAGGATGTACCACTTGTGGCGCAGGATGCGCATCTGCAACTCTCACCCCCGACCCAGGCCGCCATGGTGAAGACAACTTAAACTACCAAATCTTTCTTTTTTGTAGGATCGCATTGTAAACCTTCATATAGAGGTTAAAGGGGACCCTGCAAAAAATAGGTTTTGGTAGGTTAATAGGTATTTAAACATCTCAGCTCCTGACGCTGCCGGAAGGCTGACCAGTAAGGAAGGATCGGCCTGGGTCTGGAGGGCTCCGGGTGCAGTTGTTCGGGGATATGGGTTTAGGGTTTAGGGTCCTTTGTTTTCGCTAAATCCCGGGTCGCGCAGAGCCTGCAACTAAGTACAACTCATCCGAGGCTTTCGACTCCAAGTTCTCGGTAATCCTGCTTGGAACGCCTCATCGCCGCTGCGTGTGGCCCCAAAACCCTTAAGCCCTGAACTGAACCTTAAGTTGCTGGATAAGCTGTATGGGACTATCACATGGGGGTTTCCGAAAATTAGGGGTACCTGAGTTTTGGGTCTTTAAAAGAAGCATCCTACTATTTAGGGTACTCTTTATTAGGGTCCCCTATTGTCGGAAACTCCAAACCCTAAACCCCCACATGAATTCCTGTTCATCTGAGGCTGCATGACGAAGCTGATGCAGAACACATTGCCAGTGCTAGCAGCGAAGGCGAGCTTGAGTCGTTCCTGCGGCTGCCCGTTTGGAATCTTTGCATACCCTAAGGCCCCAAAGTAGTTCTTTTTGGGGGTTCATGTATAGAAACCTGTAAGGTAATCCCAAAAGGGAACTACTTTGGGGCCTATGGGTATTCAGTAAACTTACAGAGCCTTCGGGTTAATTCGTCTGGTTTGTCGCATGTTTGTCAACGGCTCTCGTGGCATTTCAACACTGTCCATGCCCTTATAAGGGCCTTCGGCTCACTTCTCAGACCCTTCCCAGCTGTACATAGTCATCACCCCTCAAAAATCTTGCACTCCCGAACATCAAGCCCGAATCAGCTTTCGTGATCCTGAGGCCGAAGCCTGATACCCAAGCATGACCACCTAAACTGGGCTCTTGGTAAGGAGTTTAATTTAAGCTACCATAAAAAGAAACTGATGAGGTGTCCTTCTCATGGTAACTTAAATTACATCCCTTAACAAGAACCCCGTGAAGGCCTACTTCCTTCGTCGTTTCGACTGGCGCGTGGATGAGCTGCTGAAGGACCCAGTGCGGCTTTTTCGGGTTTCAGGCTTTGGGGCTTGGGGTATAGGGCTGTGGGGCTTTAGGGCTCTGGGGGTTTAGGGGGTGTAGGACGACTCTGTGGGTCAACGGCTTCAGGATTTGGAGATTGTTGCAAATCTGCAGGACCTTTGGGGGTTCTCTGGGATATGATGTTGGGAAAGAGAGTCGCAGCTTGGGTACAAACACGACTTCTTCGAGCCAACGGAAAAGACGCTTCCTTCAAGTTACTTGGCCTGGAGGCTGTGAGAACTTCGATTTGTTCTGGACTTTCATTCCGACAAGAAAGTGTATGGCTGGGACCCTAAACCCCAAACCCAGCTCGTTTGTTTCACGCAGCTATGCACACCTTTTCTGGACAGGACGACGCATTGCTGCCACCAAGGGCAGCCACGAAGAGACTTGGGCCGCATCTGGGTGGAGCGTGCAGCAAACTACAGGGCATGAAGTGTACAGTCTACTTTATGCCCCACTAAACCAGAATTTCTGTTTCGGGCATGGGAGCGCACGCCGGTATGCCGTTGCATAGACATGTTCATTCCCTTAGCCTCTCTTGTTTGCTTCAGGGTGTTCTGTTCAGAGGTTGTAAAGTTATGTGTTTTTTGTGGTGTTTTTTGGAGTACTGTGCCGGCAAGATAAAGCCGGGCCCCAAAACCGTGGTTGTTGGGAGCTCCTTGCTTCATGTACGCCGAAGCCTCATCTGCCTTGGCCGAGGATTGCCAAGACCTTCAAGAACGACGCGACGCGTGGAGTGTCCTATGCAAAGGTGGGGCAGGGAGTGTTAAGAGACCTTCGGGAGCAGAGGCTTATGCGTGCTCTCTCCACCCTAGGAGCGCACACACACACACTGCATCCTACACGGGTAGCTCAGGTTCGATGACAGGGTTTTGCTGCGAAGCATGCGCACTGATTTGAAGTACCCGGGTTTGAGTATCGGGCGAAGAAATGAAGGTTGATGAGGGCCGGCGCAACACGAAAGTTTACAGCATCAAGTGCTTTCCGTTTTTGACTCGTGTCGGAGCCGCTGGATGCATTGTCGGCTTAAAGTTTTAGTATAGTGTACCTTCAAATCCTATTCTAATTATCAGGCCCTTACATTATAGTTTTGACATTGGCTTGTTGCAGTTGTTGTTGCGATTGTGGTCGAGCGATTTGTTTTGGAGGGCGGAGGGGGGGGGGCGGGGGCGGTTGTCATCTGAGTTCCGAGAGTACCGGAGTGCACGACATCTTAGATTCTCCGGTTTTCTAAACAACCTCTTCCTTTCGAGGGGGAGTTCAGGGTCCTACGGTTTAGGGTTGAGAAAAAAGACGACCTCGCAAGACTAATTTCCACGTCTCAGACCGTAATTCTGGTACTACCTCTGCACGAGACGGAAGCCAGTGTGTAGTGTCAGAGGTTGCAACCTACCCGCTTCTAGGGATGCTACAGTCAAACGTAGATGTCAGGGTGCTTCTGGGGACTGTTCCAATAAGAGGTTCTCAAGCTGATCTTCTTGGACGGCTGGTGGATCGGCTTCCGCAGTGTCTTGGGTTAGTAGCAAACTTTTTTCTGCGCCTAGATTCATGCTACAATTTCGTATGACTTCAGCTTCTACGCCTTACACCGACAATCGACATGGGGAATTCGAACGACGCGACTTTCGGGCAGTCTAGAGGCCTGAACAACCTCCAATATAATGCTATTCCTTCGGGCTTTGTAACACAATTCTATCGTAACAGACCCCCAAACCTATACCAAGGCAGCATACCCCTGCTTTTATGGGCCCCTAGTAGTAACCCTTATAGACCCGTGAAGAAGAACCCTATTGTCAGGAGCTTGAAGCTTACCGCTTTTTGTGAACCGAGGCCTTTAACCCTTGGCGGCGTGGTGGGTTAGGGTTTTCGGATTTAGGGTTCAAGGTGCAGGGTTCAGGGTCTAGGGTTAAGGGCGAAGGGCTTACGGTGTTTTCGGTCTTAGCGCGAGAGGTTTACGGTCCCCAATCAGTGCTGTAATTCATCGTTGCAGCTCAGTCGCTCCTCTGTCTGCCTCCGCCTTCTAGATGAGTTCTATGGTAATGTACTGTACTCTAGTATTGTTCGCACTATATTATGATGTGCTATCATATGCTCTACTATACTTACTATGATATAGACAAGATGCCGTAATGCTCAGCAATATAGAAGAAGCCGAGGAATCGGACACTTTTTGCGCACTGCTGCCCATCCAGATGACCTCTTCGGCTATCGGTGGCTCTGCAGTTTTCAGTTGAGGGACACGGATGGGTCGTTTAGAGACCGGGTTGAGGGCTTCACGTCATTGTGTTGAGGGATGATGTCGACCCTGAGATTACGAGGCAGGGTTTCGGGCTCAGGGAATGCAGGGGCTTTTGAATCAGAGTGTAGCTTGACACGAAGGTCAGTTGTTCATTCAACTGGATGCTTCACATGAATGTTCGGGAAGGTTCGGCAGTATAGCAGCCTGAGTAGCAACTCATGTGTACTGTTGCCTATGGTCCCTTATTGTACTCCTAGCAATGACGTGTCTCGAAGCCTTGTTCTAGTCACGAACGCGCATATTGCTATACTGCTTGCCTGGAACTACCGAAACCCACTTTTTTGGTAGGGTCCCCGGGTTATGAACCTGCGAGAAAATTGGGTTGTGGTAGTTTAAGGCAAGACGTAAAGCTGAACCCTGGCCCGGTACACTGAGAACTGCAACGAGACTTCGAACAGAAACCAGGCAGTTTCGGCGCCGCCTTGCAGCTGTTCTTGAGAGGCTGGGCAGTATTGCATGAGTCTTTAGGGTTCGGCTATAGGGTACAGGCTGTAGGGTTCAGCAGCTCAAAAGCTTGCGCCAAGCACTGGCCGACAGTGTGGAATCCGAGCTGCTTTTCCAGACCCGAAGCGCAACGCTCTTAAGTTGACCTTCACCCCAGGACCTCTTTGTAGCTTCTTATGAGATTCGGATGCGGACCCGACAAAACACTAGGCTTGGGTAGTTCCGGTAAACGCTATACCCAAATCCCTGAACGGATATATAATCCGAACTCCAAAACCCGTCCAGGTCCCACCGCCGCCGCTTTCTGATGTCTTCGGGCCAGCAAGCGCAGCCACTAGACGATAGGGGTTCGCCTTCAAGGTTTGGGGTTTAGGAGTTTAGGATAAGTTGAAGCTTGGTTTGGGGGCATTTGGTTTAGGGTGCACCGGGTTCAGGATTTGGGGCTTGATTAATTACCTTTGGTGACCCTAAACGACAACCCTAAACCCTAGGCTTCGAGTTGCAGGTCGAGGTGAGCCCAAACCCAAGTTCTACAATCGAGAGCCGAAAGCAGTCTCTGGAGAGCCTAAGACGTTGAAGCTGCTGCGACTGTATGTAAGTCCTTAGAAAGGTAGGTTTTTCAGGCGTTAAGGGAGAGTTTATCCAGCCGTCGGGAAAGTCTATCAGATAGCTGAAGAATCCACAGACCATTCAGACCTCAATCCCCAAGCCCTAAATCTTAGGGAAAAGTCGCCACGACCAGGGGTGTCTGGATCCTCGCGCGCCTTCGAGGTCTCGGTAGGGTCGTCATTGGCAGTCTACATTGTCACACTGGGGCGACCAATGCGATCTATCAATCGGCCATCCTCCAGTACATCCACGACTGTCCTAGCAAATGGAGACAATATCCTGCGTGGTGCGGTGTTGACACCAATGAACTCCTTCCTTGGACCGCGTCTGACGCTGGAAGCGGTCAACTGGCCAATGGCAGCAGCAACCTCAACGAGCTCGCCAACCAACTTTCGAACCTGGGCATTCAGGCCATTGCACCGAAGCCAGCACAGTGGTCTCAGCCGTCTCACTTCCCACGTGACCGAAAACGCAGAGGTCGCCAGATTGATGCAACGTGGTCACGACATCTTCAGACCTCACCGACCGTCATCGATCCAGAACGTCGCCATGTCATTGGAACTGATCATGCAATCCTTTTCTGTGATGTGTTCACAAAAGGGAGATCTTTTCTTCGCTGGGGGAACGACTCTAGGCCCAGATATGTCACTGCGGAGCTGCCAGAGACCATTATTGTCGATGCCAAAGACCTCTCCGACCTTGCCAGAACCTGTAGTGCTCCACGGCGCAGCTCTGCCTATTGTGATCCCACAGAAGTCACCGACTTGATCAAGCAAGCACAGGCTCACAACGACCCTCAGGCTTGGAAGAGAGTCCATCGTGTACGTCGTCAGGCCCGACGTCTTTGGCACCATAAACGCTTGACCAAGATCTTACATGGCAACTGGCATGAGTATCGTCTCCTTCAAAAAGAACGCAAAAGAAAGACAGGCTGGTGGGGTGGTTTACTCCAGAAATCCTCGTCCAAGGAACTCACGGCCAGGGTGCAAAGCCATCTTGAGAGCAAGCTCGTCAATGAATTTGGTTGCGACTGGGATGAACTTTTGGACACTCAGATCCAAACTGTTGAGCTCAGGGGTGAATTTGTTCCCTTTTCAATCCTTGACATCCGCGTCGCCCTTCAAGACATGAAGACTCACAGTGCTGTTGGACCTGATGGCATCAGCGTGCATTTTCTGCGAGTTGCTGCTAGTGATGATACCATTGCTCCCCAGCTACTTGAATTGGTGAATCACATTGCCTCGACATGTGAACTTCCTGAAATCTGGAGGGATAACTTTTTGGCGCTCATTGCGAAGGTCGACTTTCCGTCCAAGCCCACAGACTTACGACCAATTTGCGTCAGCTCAGCATTTCACAAGATGATCAACAAAATGATCTGCGCTCGTGTTATGCCGACTCTGCGTTCCGGTTCTCTTATTTCAGGTTGTGGTAAAGGACGCCAAGCAGCTGATGTGATTGGTGCAATTGGTCGTGTCAGAGATGTTACAGTTGAATGGCAATTGCCCACCTTGCTTTGTAAACTGGACATCTCAGGTGCATTTGACAAGCTGGACCGCATGAAAGTTGTCGAGTATCTCAAGACTCGACTTCGTGACAAGGACCTTGAACATGAACTTCGTTATCTCTTGGCGCAACTTTTCACTTACAAGCTTGTTGGCCAAGTGCCTGGGGGTGACTTCATTCAGGTCGAACCCAACGTTGGCATTAAACAAGGGGCGCCTGAGAGTGCCGAGGTGTTTGGGCTCGTAATGGATGATATCCTCTCCCGACTTACCTCGCACCGTGCCTGGGGTGACTTCGGCCTTGCCTTTGATGACTGTGAGATTGAGCTCGTCTTTTACCAGGATGATATTTTCTTGATTGAGTCCGAGCTTGTTCGCCTCGGGAAGAAAGTCAAGGTCCTCGAGCGATGTCTTGAGAAAGATGGTCTTCATCTCGCCACGGAGAAGACCAAAATAGTCTCTTCAGCCTTCTATCGCGGCGCCAAAAAGGTCCAGGTTGGTGGGTCGACTTTTCAAGTTGCCCCGGCTCATGAGTCTGTCAAAGTCCTTGGCCTGTCCTTTTCTTTGCGAGAGAAACCCTCACAGCAGGCACGAGAACTCCTAGGCCGGACCCGGGATGCAGCAATGGTTCACCGTGATATCCTTCGAGGACACGCCAACTGGGAGAAAAAAGTTGACATGATGCGCACCTTAGTTGAAAGTCAGTTTGCATGGACCGCCGGTGCAGTGCACTGGTCCCCAGAAGATCTACGTCAAGCCAACATGTTGCAGATCCACACCATGCGCACGGCCTTCCGTATTTCTCGACAAGCTGATGAACGCTGGCATGAATGGAACGCACGCAGCATGCGCACCTGCCGTGCCTGGCTTGCCAGTACGAGTAGGGATAGATGGTCTACGATCATTCTGCGCCTCCAACACACCCTGGCTGGACACTGGGCGCGCCGCGAAGAATGGCTTACAAATCATGATCGTCCCCACCGATCCTTGCCAATGCGCGCATTGAGCTGGCGATCTACTGCGTGGTGGCGTCATCAGCAGTCCCTTAGCCCTCGCCTCGGTCATCGACACCCGCGCTGGGTCCACATCTCAAATCTTGAACGTCAACTGGCAGATGCGCATGGGGTGAATTGGCCCCTTGTTGCATTGGACCGCGCTGAATGGACAAGAGTCAGATCAGAGTTCTTGCGACTCTGGGATGTGAAGTGGTGCATCGGGCGACAACTCGCTTTGACCATGTAGTACCTGCTCGCAATGACCTTGTAGTACCTGTCGGCTGTATGTGTCCGGGAAAATGAAGCCTTCTCGCGTGAGGGGACTGACATCTCACAGGCACATCTGGCCGCGAACCAGAGTTGCACAATTGCCTTTACGATCATGGATGTCTTCACTGCATAACATGCCTGTCCTGCAGTACCTGTCTTGTACTCTCGTGTTTCATCCCTTCTTGCTGAACGTGCGCCCTCCGACAGCCCTCCGTCAACCCCTTCGAATATTCGTACATGTTTGCATTGGCTCCAGGAGAACTACGAAAACAGTGCTCCCCACGTCCTTCACGCTCTTTTCTTTTCATGTTTGCCCTCGCGCTGCCCGTCCTGGTGCACTTGGCGTGGAGCAGCCCTTGGGATGGTAGTGACGAATGGCGGCCTACTCAGACCTGGGATGAATGGGAATCCACATGGGAGGGAAACCCGTCCTCTTCTACTCAGTGGACTGCCTGGCATCAGCATGATGGGGTGAACAATGTGGCTTCTGAGAACTCTCAACTTGTCCACACACCTTCGCCGTCGTCACTGCAACCCACGGCCTCATCACCTTTGACCGACCTGCCTTTAACCTGTGCATCCTCGTCGACGTGCACCGCGGCTACACACCTGGTGAACCACACCCAGCAGCTCATGGATACTACTTCGGCTTCTTCTTCGACCTGGATCCCACCTTCTACGACCTCCTGCCCGTCTGGCGCCTGGAGCTCTTCACCGCCGTCCTCTTCGAGTACCCGTCGAGTGCCGAATGACCCGCCAGCCTGCCCGGCACCAGGTCACACTGCATCGTGGAGCACAGGGGTGACTTCGCCATTGCCTCCTTCACAGGATCAGCTTCGACCTTGGACAAGGGAAGAAATCATGCTACGAATGGCAGAGGCATGGGATGAAGAACTTTGCTGGGGCCTCCAGGAGGAAGCCATTGTGGAGTATATCGAGACGGAGACCGCCCCAAATGCTCAACTTCCTGATGAACCCGTTTCGCTGCCTCCTATCCCGGAAGACCTACCTCTTCCCTTTGAGCTCGCTCGTCAATGTGCTGATTTGTCCGCTGTGGACACAACAGGCCAGACCTGGTGGGATCAAGTTCGAGATCGTCGCCAACTTCGTGGGCAAGATGGTTTCCAGCTACGACGTGATCGTGTAACTTATAATCGGAGCAACGCTGGCACCACGGTCCTAGACACTCCAAGCACGTCCAGCTCTTCGTCTTCGCAGTGCCCAGCAAATGTGGGAACTCCAGCCAACAGCAATGTGCCTACTGCCCCTGCACAGGAAGCTGATGATGATACATCCTCCTCCTCTTCTACGGTGACAGGTATCACACAACGCTGGGGAGTTCAACGACCAGGCGTTGACCGCTGGCACTACCCCAACGGTACCATCAGACGCCGCCTTCATGAAGCCGGAACTACCCAAGCCGCGACGTCGCCTACTCCACCGACCTCCTTCAACATCGAGGGAGTCGTTCAGCACCCGGAGGGTCCCGCACTTAAGGCGCGCACCTTTTACGGAGATGCATTTGAGGTCTGGGCCTCAGGGGCTACGGTAAGCCAGAACGAGTCGAGCACCACGGCCGGAGATGGAAGTTTGGGTGACTCGGAAGAGGGTTGGACATCCTCCACTGGCTCGGCGAGTTCCACTGATGTGGGTTTCTACCGGCATGGAGTCTGGCACCCAAGACATCGAACGGCCAGTGAGCAACGAGCTCACCGGGGTGGAAGTGGCGAGGCTCGTATGAGTCGCAAGGCCGCTCGGGTCGCTGAATACCTGGCAGGTTCTTGGAAACCGGCATGGTTAAAGCAGTATGCCCGTGAGAAAGAAGCACGTCAGGCAGCACAACGAGCCGAGGCATCCACTGGGTCGCCTCCCCATGTCCTTGATGAAGAAGAGACAACCGACATCGACCTCGGCCACTCCGTTTCAGTACCCTCAGCTGAACCTTTGCCTCCTCCTACTGCCGAGACCTGGGAAAATTGGTCCTGGACTGGCTGGCGAGAGTTTGAAGATGGACAACAATCCTGGAGTTGGCATGCTGATGGAACCTGGAGTTGGAGAGGCAATGATGGAACTTGGGATTGGTGGTCTGGGTACTCGTCGACTTCGTCTACTTCGAGGGACGATGGGAATTGGGAATGGTGGTCTTGGCAATCGTCGACCTCGTCTACTACCTCCACCATCAATGGCACGGACCATCATCTGTGGAGTCAGGAAGCCCAAGTACAACATCACGGGGTGACTTTGCATTGGATCACCTCATCTTCACCGTGGGTGAGTGTAGTTCATCAGGTGTCGATGTTGGGCTCTTCTATTCCCTGGATCACCTCGACTACATCGACTACCACCTTGAATGAGATTGAGGATCCCCCGACCTTGCCTCCTAATGCCGGGTTATTCCCTGATGTGTTTCCCATCGACCCAGAGACCCATGGAAGAATGAGTATTACGAATGGCGAGGTGGCTACGTTGCAGGAATATGGCGTCTCCCAGAGTCACATTCGACGAGTCTCCGATCTCCTGGATGCTCTGGATCGCCAAGAACGTATGGGTCTTGGAGCAGAGAGCCGATGGGCGTTTGAACGTCTACTTCAACGAGCTTCTGAAGGCGCCGATGCTCAGCAGGCAATTCTCCAAGTATTGAGACGCCGTCTTCTTCCTCGAGGCCTGCTCCCCATCACTCGTGTACCAAGAACCGAAGCACTTCGCTGGAATATGTTCTCTTGGGTGCGACAGTTCATCCCACTGTTTTTGGACAACATGGAGCAGCACCTCCGCACTCCGCTGCAGCCTCACGAGGGTGAAATCAGCTCATCCAGTGCTGAGGGCAGCTTGCCACGCAGTCGGAGTAGGTCACCACGAGGGGCGAATGAGTCTACAGGTGAACATGAATCAGACCTGGTAGGGGATGATACTATGGTGGACAACGAGTCAACTAGTGCACTTCCTACTGCTGCACTAGCTCACCTTGCCCCTGTTGAACTTCAAGGCATCTGGCAAGAACCAGTGGAGGAGAGCACACTACCAGACCCTCAATCTTCGAGCTCCACTTGGATGGGTGAATTGTCTTCTACCACCTCGACTACTTCGTCTTCTTCGTCCTCGACCATGTATGACCTCAACTGCTGGGTGGTGATGCAAGAAGATGTTGAGGGAAATTGTGCCCACGAAGAAGACCTGCTGGATGAACACTCCTTTATGCAGCAGTCGTTGTGCAGTTTGCAGTCCTTGGTGTTGCCTACTTCGACTACTTCGACTACAACGACTTCCCCATGGACACCACTGTGTACGACCTTGACTTCGAGCACCTTCCTGACGGTGACTACTACGACTACGTCTCGTTTGTCCACAGAAGACGCAGTCCGGGATGAAGTCAACCATCAATTGGTTATTTCAGCTGAAGCGGATGTACCTGAGCTGTTGCGACGACTTTTGGTACATCAGCGTCGTCTTCTCCACCTGCTACGCCTCACGCAAGTGGCCCTCGATGAAGCCCTTCGCTGGATACAAGTTCCTCGTGAAGCACTGCCTCTGAACGCTAACGTCCATGAGCGACGAGTGTGGACAGCAATTGTGCGAGAAGCGACCCAAGGCTCCAGCCCGTCCAACTCTTCGGCCTCGACTTGGGTAAATTCCCCAGCAGTCTTGCTTCAACCAGGTCTGCCAGACTCACTTGGTGCAGTTGAAGAAGCGCTCCCAGGAGTACCTGAACACGCCTGGGCAGCTTACCGACGACGTGGATGGAGACGACATGTAGACGCGTTATTCCAGCGAGGAGGCCGTGACACACCGCGTGGGTCGTGGTCAAGCCCGGCGGACGAAGACCTCTACTTGCTCCAGACTGATCCGTCAGTTGATGTTCCCAACTGGCCGGAGTTAGTACCGCGACCTCTGTCTTGTCGGGGGCATGCTCGTAGTGGCGCTCGCCGTCGTCACCATCGTCCACGCCCGGACCCACAACTGGTCCCCATGGATCAGGATCTCGCAATGGAAGGAGCTGTCCCGGTCAGTTCGCTACAACACTTTGCAACCGATGTCGTTGGTGGCTTGGGTCGAGAACCTCGTGCTGCTGATGTTCGCCGAGATGCAGATGGACGAGGAACCGCAGATGGACGAGGACCTGCCCATTCTGTACATCGACGTCGTGTTGCCCTACCTGTACCAGCTGGAGAACCACTACCTCGAGGACAACGCCGTCGTTCGGAAAGTGAGCGCTCACGAGGTCGTCCAGACGAAGGTCGTGTTCGGGGTAGTCATGGGCAACGTGAACGAAGCCGAAGCAGGGACAACTAGGAGTTCACTGGTGCCGTCGTTTTGTCCTCTTCTTCGAGTTTGTGGGCTGAGTGAGAGGGCCTCTTTTAGGTGTAAGCCTCCTCGAGGCAGGCTCTGAGACCTGCAGTCATGCGGAGAAAGGGTCAGTACACTTTAAAAAAAAAAAAATCCTAATTAAACCTCAATCCCAATGCCCTAGACCCTACCTTAACCCTGAATAACCTACCTTTTTATGGTTCCTTATTATGATTTCCTTGTAGAAGTCCTTAAAGAGGTACGTGATTCCGGGTTAAGGGAAACCCTGAACCTCCATCCCAAAGCTCTAATCCCAACTCATAACCCTTGGAGCTTCAGTGCATGAACGCACCAGCCCTCCTCCAAACAAAAGCCGAAAGGCGGGGCTACGGGCTTAGGGTTTCTATAATAATGTTTATAGGTTTCCTTATGGTTTAGGTTTTAGGCTTTCTAGGCCTTAAATCGATGTGAGAGCTGTCAGGCAAGACAAGATCCTCGCACAAGCACGGTCCAAGGACTCTACAGGCGGGGTTATAAGCTTGAGGGCCGTCGGCAGCGACATGGGCTGTGGTCTAAGGTTGGGGACACAGGTTCAGGGTGTAGGGTTCCGCATTCAGCGTTGGAGTTCGGGGTTTCGGCTTTGCATCTTCCGGCTTGGTTGAACAGCTGCAAGCTTTGGTTCTCCCGTACGGTGTTCAGGGAGAAGGTGATACAATGGACTGGAGTTTCTTTGTAGTATCAGGGTTTTGGATTGGTTTTGGCTCTGCGAAGTCTTTTGATTTGCTGGAGATACAGGGAGGGCTCTGAATTTATGTCATCTCTTCGAGTCCCTCTTGGATGTCTTAGACTGTTCGAGTGCTGACATACCAACGAGCTTGCAGAGCACAGCGTACGACATCGAAGTTTGACCACTTGCGGCGGAAATCAGAACGGCTGCACTGCACTGCTTTCGCTTTGGCAAGCGTTTAAGTTTAACAGCTTTGCAACTCAAAGCATTCAGAATCGAAGCTCTAAGATAAACCTTAAACCCTACGCTCTCACCCTCAACCAGAAGCTTTGCCGTCTGAAAACGTCTTCGGCACAGCTTGCGCCAGGTCGTGTGCGTTGGGTAGCGGTCTCGCTGGACACTTCACTGAACGTTGAGCTAGCATTTCGGGCCTGGGAGTATCAGCAATTAGATATGACACAGCATTTTTGCAATCTTTATGCATGCATTGTGCATTGATGCACTACAAGTACATAATTATGCAGCTGAGTTTGCACTCTGAAACCCAAGCCGCCCAAGTCTGCTGCCCTGGCAGCACGGCATCCCAGGATAAGTTCTACACATCGGAGACAGCTCTGCGGAGGGTTTTCGAGCGTCCCTTGACCTGGTATTCAGCTGAGGCTTCAAAAGTCCGTACTAGTTGCGTTGATGTGGACTGGATCTATGTTTGATATTATCGGATTGGGAATCGTGCTTATGAACTTCGAATGTCGGTAGCATAAGGCAGCATTTGACTGAGGGCGCATAACGCGGGCTTGAGCTTCGTGGTCTTCCTAGCTCCTTTAGCGGCGTAGCGTCAGCGTGCCAACGTCAGTTGGCGATTTGAGGTATACTCAGCACGGAACTACCTGTCGTCCCAAATGCAGGATGCCTCTGGTCCTGCTTTCTGTTGTGCAAGAGCAGTCGTGACACGAACATACCAAATCAGCCTGGAGCCAAAAAGCCGTGCAGGTTTCGAATGTATGCATTCGACTCTACATCCTACAAACCTAAACTGCATGCCCTGAGTCCAATATACTTGAGTTCGGATACAAAGGCCGCAAGCCCCCAAACCTTGAACCCTCAACCCTCAAATCCGACACCCAAAACTCTAAATGAAACCCTGAACCCCCAAACCCTCATTAGCAACTTTCAGCAACCCTGGAAGATCCCTTGCAGCAACCCTTGCACCCTTGCAAGAGCAACAAGCAGAACAAGCGGCCATTTACGTAGCTGTCAGAATCAAAGTCCTTTTGAAAACAACTAGAATTCTGCTCTTTGAATATGGCACCCGAAAGTTTGGGAATCCAAGCGCGACCCCCACCACCGAAACCAAGCTTCAGCGGAGGCTCAGTTCCTGGGGATGCAGTCATTGCCATCCACTATCCGCCCCATGGGCTATAACATTGCATGCTTTGGTGTGTACCCAGAGAGCCCGATACCCCTTAATCAAGGAATGTAGCTTGAATCATACTATGAAGCCCTATATAGTTTACGCCATATTCCTTAATTAAGGCGCATTGGGCTCTCTAGGTAGGGGATTTCGGGTCCAGGGATGGAGTCGAGCGCTTTATCCTATTCGTCGGGTCTCTAATGGGTCGCTATAATTCTGCCAGCTACCTTGTTGGAGGCTTCAGGGTTTCGAGGGCTTCGACGGTAGGACCGATCATAACCCTTAGTGAGTGTGTTTAGGCGGCCGACGCCCCGAATCCCGAACCGTAAACTTGAAAGGTTGAGCGCGGCTGCAGATATCTGGGCCTGGGTGCACGGGCTTGGTCGGGAGAGTTAGTGCAGTGGAGGTACATCTGCTGCACTTCTTGAACCCCTGCTCCGAAAACCCTACGATAGTATCAAAAGTTCCAAACACAAACACTCTCCTCATAAAGTGTTCTCGTGTTGTTGTGGCATAAACTCAAGGAAAATGTGGTTTCCAAGTTATGCTGGGTTGCCTAGGCTTCATAGAGCGGCCTGAACAGTCAGAGACACTATGCATTAGGGCTCATTGTTTGTATAGCTACAGTCAGACAGGGCTCCAAACCCTGCTCTACTGTTGATGGTATAAATCCTGCATTACCCATAATAAGGAATATACCATAATTCCCATGTTTAGGGTCCTTAAGGCAATGCAGGATTTATATCATCAACCGTAGTCATTAAGAACCCTCCAGCAGAACCTTATTCGCCCTAAACCCAGCAAAACCCTAAACCGCGAGTGCAGAGGCCCAAACCATTGGCTCGTCCTAGCAAGGAACTCTCGCTGTACGCAGTCGGAACAGAGCCGACATACCAAAAGACCCTTAAGCAACCTTCCAACGGGAACCTTATTTTCACGATTAACCCCCCTAAACCCTCAGCCATGAAAGCCTAAACCCCAAAACCCGAGCCCAGGAACATGGCCGCGGACCTGGTTCCCGAGGGGCTCTTCCCCGAGTCTTTCGGCTGAATGCGTTCTTAGGGGTTTGCTGCTGGGTTTGATGGCTTAGGGTTTGCTGGGTTTGCCAGGGTCTGGGGATTCAGAACAGCCTGCAGGGCTTCAGGGTTTTTGTTAGTCTAGGGTGTTGGAAGTGTGTCTTTTGTGGTGAAGTTTTGTACATTCCCAGCTTCGTAATCGCAACAGCTTGTCCTTGACCAACGTCTTCCTGCAACCTACGGAGTACAAGGCTCAAGGAGTCAGACTCTGCTCGCTCCCTACAGTCTTGAGCTCTTTCGTGCGATCGCAATACTGGTTGCAGTTATCTCTATTCTGCGTCATCCGAATGGGCAGCTGGTTTTCAAGCAGCGATTGCAAGCAGAACCAGCCGCAGCCGGACTCACACCAGAGCAGAGAACTCGCCAGTCGCAGGCACGAAGGACTTGTTTATGACGAGATGGACAGGTTGGCGACTATGACGAAAGAGACGAAAGTGCGTGGACCGCGTGCCGGTCTGAAGCGTTGATGTGCGCTTGGTCGTAGCTTTGTGCGGTCACCGTACGGCAGCCTCTTCCTGTCAGAGTTCTTTGGTTTCTCAACACGCCATGCTGTTGAGAAGCGGAGCCGTCAAAATCCACCTTGACATTGTGCGATGCTGTGCGGAGAAAAGTCATACTATTCCCCAGAAGGACGCTGCTGCCAGCCGTGAGGCAAGCTCAGTCTCAGACACGGTAGTATCCTTTCCAAGCCCAGGCAGCTCTCCCTGACCACCCCTTGTCAACCCTAACAAATCCCTAAACAAGAAACTGCCACAAAACCTTTAAAACCCCAAAAGACTTAAGGCATGTTTGTACAAGTGTTGGTTGTCGAGGGTTGTTCGGGCCTCTATACCCCAAACCCTAAACCCTAAACCGTCCCAAAAGCCTGAAGCGATGTGAAGTTCGCCACAAGGTACCAGGGCGATCTCCTCGCACAGATTGCCGTGTCCCGTGCACGAATGCTCCTTGCCCGGAGAAACATAATGCAAGAATTAGAATAGGGTTCATTTAAGGGGTTCTATAAGGGGTCTATTGGGATCTATAGTATGGTTCTATCCTTAATTGTTGGAATAGGGCTCCTTTAAAGCATGACTATACGAGCTACTATAAGGTTTCTGTATGAGGGGCCCCAATAAGTTGATTGGGTTTGTTGGGGGGGGTCCTTATTGTAACTAGTGTTTGATGGGTCCCAAGACCCTATTCTAATTATGAAGGCCCCTACATCAAATCCTCAACCACCAATCCTTGGCCCCCACAGGAAAAGTGACAATTGAGCT